TGATGGTCGAAGCAATTTTCGTTGTTAAAACTCTTGGAGCACCCATTACATTTTTTGGAGAAATTGTTCCTCGGAGGGCATGGATATAAAGGACCGACACGGGAGCAATTGAGACAGTGTGCCCGACAGGATGTAGAATGTTGTTGTGGACGTTGATACACTGTTTCACATTCCAAACAATAAGGCTGCCCAAAAAGCCCACCAGTGCAAGTAACTCCATTAAAGTGAGAGCCATCAAAATAGAGGAGCAATGGGGAATTATAATTCTCTGGACCATATTTGAAACAAGGCTTATAGTGCCCCAAACAATCAAAAATAAAAACTTTAAAAACAAACTGGCCTGCATACATTTCATTCCAAAAGTCAATCACGGGAGGGACCCACTCTTCAGCATTGTACTCCTTCTGACCAAGAGGAGCTCCAACTTGATCCATCAGCTCCAATGTCTCCCTTTCGAATTGTCCACACGATGCATACCTCCCGTGGATATAGTTGTAAAATTGTGAGCGCGACATTTTGCTAATAAGCCGTACAAGTGTTGCTAATAAAGAATAAAATAAGCAATAACCATCGTTGTTGATAATTTTGATTAAATTCTGCTCCTTGATCTGATGATGAATAGGAGCAAGTTTTCGGGGAGCTCCTCCAATAATGTTGTTTTCCTTGTTCAAATTTTTCTTGTCGACGACCATTACATTAACTGAAAAAGGTTTTCCCCATAGGGTAATACCAGCCTGCTTTTTACTCTGGGAAACTTTATTGAATTGATTAAGCAGGGTATTGAAGGTATTTTGCGATGTGGGCCTAAGTGGTATCCAGATATCAGAATCTAATAACTCACTTGTTACGGTGCAACTCAGCTCCTCAGGTTCAAGTCCGTTGTTTTTTGCGTTGTTCACAGCCTGGTTGAAGCAATGTTGAAATATTCCTGATAATAAGGCCTCAGGGTCGGCAGGAATATTCTGAATAAGGAATTTCGAATAATTTTTGGTGATCTTAAATTTATTGATTAATTTTGTAGTATTTTCAAGCTGCTCAATATATTGCTGTGGAGCAGCATCTCCTCCTGATTGATTGATAGAGAGAAGGTTATCAATAAAGAACGCTCTTGCGCGTTTTGTTGGAGGAATATAGTCCATTATTCAATAAAAAAAATCCTATGAAAAAGAGCTCCTATGAATAAAGAGCAAAAAATTATGGGGAGCAAAAAGAGCTCCTATTAAAATAAAAAGATGAGGAGCAAATTAATAAATATTTTAAATTATTTGAACTTTTTTTAAGTGAATACAAATGAGAAATAAATCTTTGTTTTTATATGAAATATTTTGGTAAAACTTTTTATAGGCGGCAACTTCAAAGAGGTTTTAAAACATTAATTTGCATAAATTTAAAATATCGGGAGCATAAATTTTAAAATTTTTAAAATATTGGCGGCATCTTCAAAGAGTTTTTAAAAGGTTAATTTGCATAAATTTAAAATATCGGCAACATCAAAGAGAAAATTCTAAACAATTTTTAAATTTGATAAAAAATAAAGGATTAAGGTCAAAAGGTCAAGGTCATTATCTGAAAACTTGCCAAAAAGGATTAAAAACATGGACCAAATTTTGGCGAAGCAAAAATTATGTATTGGGGATTGAAAATAAAGAATTTTAATTTTTTTAATAATTTATCAGCTATCACTTTAATTAACAACAAATGTAATCAGTAACAAATAAATATTAACGATACAGAACATAATAATCACCGATTAGGGTAATCACTTTTAGTAACATCTAGGGTAATCACGTGCCTCGGTAACATCTAGGGTAATCAGGTGATAATTGGTACATGTTTACAAAGGTGTAATCTAGTAACGTACATGAATCATCCGCGACAGGCTTGAAATTACTCATTTGGTTTAACATGATTTTATTACCACCCCCGACATCTATGATTTACAAATTATCCCTCAATCCACTCCTTTCTTATCCTTTTGGTTTTCCTCACTCTCTTTCTTTTGTCTGACCATTTCTTTTATCGGACCCCTCCACCCCCGCGACAGTGTCCACTCCTCTTTGATCTTTGCCGCGGCATGCCCTCTCCCTTTTGGTTTTGTCGGACCCCTCCACCACTTGACGGGTAGTGGATTAGTAAAAAGCCGCGACGGTGACTGTGGGTTAACTACTAATAATGATAAAAATAATTTTTTATAGGTTTATGTTAAAACAAGGAATACGTTGAAGGGTATTGACAGCTTGTACAAATTAAGATATGAGGATGTACCTACAAAATTTGGTATTAGTATATTAAAGGATGTCCGTTAAAAAAATTTTTTTAAATGAAACTGAATCAGAAACAATTTTTAAGCATCTGAAAAAAGAAATTAAAGGAAACGGATTTGCATATTTAATTAACGGAACGGCTCATCTGTTCCCGGCACTATAACTCTAGAATGGACACTTCTTCATGTTATTGGTACCACTAGATAAAACATTAAAAGGGCTACAACATATCAAAAAATCAAAATTTTTGATTGTTAGATGAAAAAGTTATGATTCAAAAACTGACTTTTTAAAAAAATGTGATATTTCGGCACTTTATCGAGCATAACTTTTTTACCAGTCGATCAAGAATTTTGATTTTTTTTGGATATTGTGGCCTATTTAATGCTCTATTCAATGGTACCAAGAACAAAAAAGTGACAAGCACTTTATAAGTTATAGAGTCCCGGACTCAGTTGAGGTGTAGCCTTTAATTATGAAAATATTAAATATGTATATTTGGGGGGGGGGGGGGTGAGGGTAGGGGAAGATATAAATTTTTTATTTTAAAAATACATACATTTTAAGAGTGTAAAGATATGGTTAATGGTTTTGCTGAGTATCCATTCAAGAGATTAGAGAATTCTTTAAATTACTCCTTATTTTATTTGGAACTTAAATGCGAATTTATTAAAAAATCTGAAACAACAATAAATATAAGTTTAAAAAATAAACAACAAAATAAATTTATTACTTTTGATGTAATAAATAGAAGATATTTTAATGAAAGAAAAACATTATCTAATTTTTATGTATTCTCCGCTGAATCAAGGGATGTTTATGGCCTTGGCTTAGTTTTTCCCCCAACCAACAAAACAGACGAACACCCTTATGCCTTTTTTACCCAAAATGGAAAAATACTTGGTAAACATTTAAATTATTAATTAGAGTGCTGTGTAGATTACGCCCCATAAGTTTTGGTTTCCAAAATTATCAAAATTTTCACCTGTGCAAAAAGAGAGTGATGATAATTGAAACTCAGTTTCCACCTCCTCTTATTCACCCAAATCCCCAATAAAAAATAGTTCATTGATTTTCTACCCGGAGCTCGGAGCCAAGGGTTGAAAAAGGTCGGAGCTGTAGCTAACATATGCCCATAACACAGCTCTACCCAATAATAAAAGGAAGAAAAGTGGCGGGACCTATGTGGGGTAAACTACACAAGTTTCAAAATTACTTTTTAATTTATTTTTAAAGGTTATGGTATATCACTAAAGGATAATGCAGCTGAATATAAAGCTTTTGTTAAACTTGAAAACTGCATTACTGAAACGAATTTTGGTAATAATTTGGTTTCAAAACCTTTCAAATATGACGTTTATAAACATAAAATTCTTGATGAACTTTATTGAAATTTTGTAATTAATTTTGCTTCTATTTATTTTTTACTTTTTAAAAATTTAAACTAAAATAATAATTTAAAATTACACGTGATAATTAAATGAGCCAAATAAAATTTTAATTCTTTTTTTTATTTTATGGTTGTAATAAGGTCTAATGTGTCCAGTTTTGAAAAGAAAACACAACTCTTCTTTTTCATTGCCGCAGGCAAAAAGTGGGAATTTTGGAAAGCTAGAGCCGAATTTTTTCCGTTTCTATTCAGCGCTACAGAGCAAAAGTTACAAGAAAATATAAAAAAAATCCCCATAATCTTCAAAAGACCACAAAAATTCACATTTTTAAAATAATCCTCATCGACCTATCAAAATCATATGAAATGGGGAAAAATCCACACATATCGAAACCGTGAATTTTTAAAACCTAAATACAACTTTTAGCGATATTAGTTTCGTCTCATTTATTTTTATTCAAGAAAAAATGTATCTCGATTATGAGAAGAAACAAAAAAATTTTTTTTTGAATTCACATAAAAATGCTCAAGAAAGTTCTTTGAAAATGATTGTACGTATATTAAAAATAGTATAAAAAATAAATATAGGTCAAACAAAACATTTTTGTGCTTACTTGTATCAATTCAAAAAAAAATATATAGATGGACACTATACTCACGGGGGGTTTTTTAATAAATAAAAAATGCCAACTTTCAAGTCCCATAACTTTTTAGTTTCATATTCTTAGCCAAAAATATCCGAAAATTTTTTAGAGAAATCAGGATACTCTATCGATTAGTACCAAAAAAGTACAAAGTTTTGATATTCAGTCAAGACGAAAAAATTTAGTCTCATAAATACCCGCATAATAAACACCCCCGTGTTTAAAGAACCCATCTTATATTAAATAAAATAATTTTGAGAGCATTAAGAAATGGGGTCATCATCATTTTTTCTTGAGAACGAGAAAGAAGGAGATTGAACTAATAAAAAAAATTTTAGAAGAGTCATAGTGTTGCGCCGGACCGCATATTTGGTCGGAACAGGAACTGACCTGAACCGGATCTAATTTATTGGATCCGAACCGAATTCCGGACCAAAAAATCCTGGAACTTCCGCCCTACTGGGGCCGGAACTTCCGGTGCAACACCGCTCCCTAACCCCCATTTCCTCCCAAAAAAAAACGAAAAATTAATTTAAAAATTTCAATCTCTCCCCTCTTCTCTTTAATTTTTTAAGCAGTAAAAATAAAAATAACAAAAAAAAAACCTTTTTTTAAATTCCAATCATTTTATTTTTTTTACATTTTCTTACACACACACACAAACATATCAATATCATCTTTTTTAAATATTTTTCTCACTCTTTAACCATCAGAATCATCATCACTAACAATATTTTTATTCTTCCTAGGTCCTCCAGGTTTAATTTTTGTTTTAAGAAACATAGCCAATTCCTTTTCAAGTTGTGCTAGAAAAATGAAAAAAAATTTTTTTAAATTAAATTCTAATTAAAATAGATTTTAAAAAATGAAGGAAAGATTCTCTCTATATACTCTACGTTATGTAAGGACCAGAGATGGGATGGGGGTTACCCAAAACCCGGTCTTTTTTTCGACCCTGAACCCGACCAGAAGAAAATTTTGAAAATCCGACCCGATCTTTTTTCTCAACCCGTCCCATCCCTGGTAAGGATTAGTGAACGGGTAGTACCGTGTCACCGGCGGTATTATAATCCACTTAATTACTGCACGGAATATGGCATGGGCAAGATTTTCGAACCTGTGACACCTCTGATTTTGCTCACTATGTTTCAACCCCGATTTTTTTAAAACTGGCATCATTCGACAACTCGGTTCTCAAGCTTTGATCTAAACAAGTTCTAAGTACTTTAACAGTATTGCCCTCTTAACAAGAAATAACTCTAGTAGAGATCGAGCTGTGGACCAAGGACTGGGTTTTCCTGAACACAGAGTCCAGGCCCAGGCATTTTTTGACCTTCCTGGGTTTCTCCTGGACTACTGGCCCAGGATCCGGTCCAGGTCAATAATAAACTACCGCACGAAAATTCACAAAAATAAAATCCACCTAATTCATTTTTTGTATACTTTTTCTGTCTAAATTTTTGAAAAAGCTAACGAGAGAGAGAGGAAATTGACCCAAAAATGCTCCACAAAAAACTTTATAAATTAAAAAAAACCATTAATAGTAATTTGACATTCAGACGTCATTCCCAAATTAGCCACCAATTTAAGCTTCCCAACATTATCACGAAACATAACGTCAATACGAAATTCTGAAGATGGCTTTTCTTCAAAAATTTTTTTTAATTTAAAAAGAAAATAAAATTTCCAAAAAAACCTCCTTTTTCCTTATCAACATCAACTTCCCGTTCATTTTTATTTTTCTTTTGCTTACAATTAGCATTTGACACTTCTTTAGTGGAAATATTGTTGTTGATAGAATTTTTAACTTCAGTTTTCTTTAAAAAAAATTTTTTTAATTTTAAAAATGTTAAAGAAAAGAAAAACCTCAACAGTTGTTGAACGACGTCGAAGCGATGCTGAAATTGCAGCCTTTGCTCTAAAAAATTAATTTTTTTCAAAAAAAAATTTTTAGGAAAATTTAACCAAAGCAAGTCTCAAAATTAAAAAATTTGAAAAAGATTCGAATTTTTTTTCGAATATTTCAAAAAAAATTTTCGAAACATTCGGGAACCTCTTGGCCATCTAAAATTTATGACTGTGGAACTTGAAGGGTTGTGCGAATGTGTAGGGTTCAGTTTTGGAATCGAACCGAAGATTTCTTATAAGAAGGCGAAGGCGTAGCCAGGGAGTCGATTTCGAGGGGGGGGGCTAACATGGTGTGTGCGCCCAACTTTTGGCGTTTGGACGCAAATTCAGAACAGCAGGCGAAAATCTTCCGAATTTTGGAGGTTTAGGCAAAAATTGTCCTAATTTCCCCCCCCCCCCATCCCTTTCTCACATTTCGGTGGGAGGAGGGCTTCAGCCCCCTGGCTACTCCCTTGTAAGATGGCCCTTAAAATTTCTTACTTTCCAAATAATTTAAAAAAATACTTTGAATTATCATCTCCATTTTCTTCAGGATCAGTCGGAGGTGGAGGAGAATCCTTCTTATTATCCTTCCGAACAGATCCCTTACCATCAACTTCCCCATTCTCAACAATTTTTCCATTAACTTTATTTTTGTCATCTTCACTGTTTCCCGATGTATTCAATTTTAATTCAAGATCGCCATTTTCGTCTTTGACCTGAAGAAAAAATTTTTTTCACATTTAAGTCAGACACTCCTTCTTTGAGAAATAGAAAGGGAAGGAAAAACTAGCAGACCTACTCATGGATACGGATACAGATGATATCAGCGGATATCCGACTTAAATATCTGAATATGGATACCAAAATGAGTATCCGTGAGCAGGTCTGTTGAGCAACTCGGTTCAATCTTCTCCCAAAAAAGAAAAAATATTAGTCATTATCTCTTCCCCACTAATCGCTTACTTTATTAAAAAGAGTTTTGATTAATCTATTTTAGCCGCCAGCTCCTACTTTGAGCCCAACTCTTTCCAGTTATAACTGTTTAAATTAAGATAGCTCCCCGAGCCTTCGGGGGCGCGATTGCCCGGGACCGGTGTTTGCCGGGGTAGAGCCTTCGGGGTCCAGGTCGGGGTTTTTGCCTGAAAATTCGTCGGGGGACGGATCGAGGTTTTGCCCGCACGGGGGTAGGCGTCGGGTTTCGGGGTTTTCCAGAGTAGAGCATTCGAGATTCGGGTCGAGGTTTGGCCTAAACATTCGTCGAGGGACGGGGTGCTACCTTAGTTTAAATAATGAAAGAAAACCTTGTCGTCATCATCAGTTTTAATATCATTTTTCCCTTCAACAGAAAGGCGTTCCTCATCATCTTCATCACTATCTAGCCAGCTATGAAAAACATTATTCTTAACACGCGACTCAACAGCAGTTTGCTTTAAAAAAAACTTTTTTTAGCAAAAATATTTTTTTTAAATTTTACCAATGAAGATTGGCTCGTATTTACACCAAGACGAGAATCTGAAGAAGAAAATCTACGTGAAGGAGTAGAAGTTGTTTCCGATTTCTTCTTTGCTGAAGCTGAAGCACGTCCTTTTCCTCCTTTGCTTTTGCTGGTTCTAAGGATAAAATAAAAAAATTTTCTCGGCCAGGAAAAAAAATGAAAATTTCCAAGACTTGCGGATAAAAAATTGTGGACCTTAGGAACTATCCGAAAAAATAAATAAGTGTAGCGAGCAATAGGAATTGAACTACTTATATCGAAAAGGAATCGAAAATAGTATGAAAAGGCAGAAAATCTTTTTTCTGTTTAAAAACAAACTCCTAAATAAGATTGCCGTTTTCGAGTCAGGCTGGCGGTCGAATCATTTTTTCGGGCTTCATTTTTATCGAGTCGAAAAGTCTTTTTCGGGCCTAACTTTATCGAGTCGGACCGTACGAGCCTTTTTCCCAAATATGTTTCGGACCGAGTCAGGCCAACCCTACTCTTAAATAAAAATTTCCCCATCATACAAACTATGTATCATCCTCAAAAAGAATCCTAGTAAGTACAACAAAAAACCTTTCAATATTTTAAAAATTTTACTTTAACCAATCAAAAAAAAAATAAAACTAACGCTTTTCCACCGCCTTTCTTTTTAGAAGAACTTTCAACTTTGAATTCATCATCTTCACTCTCACTGCTCATTTCTTCAGCGTTTACATCACTCAGCGGAGTGGCACTTTTTACGCGCTTCTTAAAAAAATTTTTTTCAATTAAAATTCCTTTCAAAATAAACCGGTGTTTTGATATTTTCACTGCCCAAACGTTTAACTCCCTTCTTTTTCAATTGTGCCTGTTCTTCCAAAAACGCATCCAAAACATCTTGGGCACCGTCAACTAAATTTTCTTGTGGCTCCCAAGAGTCATCGCTGGGACCATATCCCCTCCAACGAACCTTAAAAAATGTTTAAATTATCAGATTTAGAATGAATAGTGATCGAGATGGGTCTGGACCAAGGCCTGAGGTTTTCCTGTACCCAGAATCCAGGCCCAGGCATTTTTTGACCTTTCTAGGTTTCCTGAGCCTGTGTTCTTCCTGGACTACAGGCCGAAGAAACTGCCCAGGTCATTGAATCAACCTGGAACCCAGGAATAGGCCCAGTCTTTTCAAAAATCTCAATCAGCCAAAAATATCACAAACAGATCAAATGTCAGAAAAGTAGGTTAGAAACAGGAAAACAAAAATAGGATTCGTGACCCATCTATGGCCTGTGGTACATATTAAGGGCGGACACGGACAAAACTTGCAAACTTACTATCTATAAAAGTTTTGCAAATGACACGAGATATTTTTTTTAGTGTTAAAAATCGAAAAGTAATTAAAACTTACAAGAAAAAGTGTTTTGCCTCTCTCCCTTTTCTGCTTTAATATCTTCTCGACTTCATATTCTTTATCGTCTTCTTCATCGCCAGAGGCAACAACGCCGTTTACGTCATCTGTATTGGTCACAACATCAATCTGAAAAAAATTTTTAATAGCAAAAATCCCAAACGAGGTCTTAAAACTAAACACTTACAAAAAACCCTAAAGTGGAAGTCTATTACTCCAAAAGAAAATCGAAACAATGAATCAGAAAATAGGGGCTCCCCATAAATTTGAGAAAATGTGTACTTCTTGTGGGTTATCCCTAGCCTTTTTTGCGGACGCAGTTGTACGGAATGGTCAGCTTCTCCCTCCCTCTCTCCTATGCACTTGTCAACCAATCAAGCAAGATTAAATGTAGTACAACTGTGCCTGCAAAAAAATCCGCAAAAAAGTCTGTAGGCATAACCCACAAGTACCAAAAATGTTTAAAGCATAAACCTCTTCGTCAACGTCCATTGCCAGAAATATTTTTTCAAAAGAGAATAAATATTAAAGAAACGTCCAAAGGTTGATTGGAATGTATTCCTGAAAAAGAGTAATTTATAAAAAAAATTTTTTTGTCCGCAAAAAATTTGCGGACAAGACTTGCGGACTTTTTGTTCCAGAAAAAGACATGAGACAAGAAAAAAATTATAAAGATTCAACGATTCCAAAACGTTTTTAAAATTAAATTAAGCTAACAAAAAAGAGAAATAACATTTATTTTTTCAGCGCAACAGAGTGATGTTAAAAATCACAAAAAAATTAAAGAAAACCCTCCCAAAAAATTTTTTTGTCAACAAATCATTTAAAAAAATCTTCCCTTATATTCTTCACTTCCTTCCCTCTCTTTATTTAATTTTCTTCTTAATGCGCAAATCGTTGGAATGGCCACACTTGCGTTTACGACAATTGGTAGCACGTGGAGGAAGACGAGCATAACACTTACTTAAATATTTAAAAATAACTTGATGTTAGAAAGGAGGAAGGAAAATCTTAAAGACAATATTTGAAAACTATTTTATTAGTTAATAGCCTGAAGACTGTCAGCAGGGCTCTGTTTTTAAAGGAACCAGTTCAGGGAACTACTAGAAGCTGACATCAGGCCCGTAACCAGGAGTAAAGACGAAGAGACGGTTGGACCAAGACCTGGGTCAAATTAGAACCTTTTGAGTTGAGAAACACCAGTTTAACTTTTCTTCCTAGCCCCAAGACACGATAGACGGTATCTAGTAGAGATCGAGCTGTGTCTGGACCAAAGCCTGGGGTTTTCCTGAACCCAAAGTCCAGGCCCAGGCATTTTTTGACCTTCCTGGGTTTTTCCTGGGCCTGCGGTTTTTACTGGGCCTGGATCTTCCCTGTACTACAGGCCCAGAATCCGGCCCAGGTCAATAAATCGAACCCGCAACCTAGGAACAGGCCCAGGCTTTTCAAAAATACCAATATCTACTAGTTTCTTATCAGAATCGTTGAAATTATAGGAAATATAAAGGTAATAGTGCCCGTCAAAAAACAAAAAATAAACCGGCAGATTTGCTTCTCGCAGTTATATTTGGAGGCCAATTGACGAAGAGACGGTTCAATAATTCCACCACGAAGACGGAGAACTAAATGAAGTGTAGACTCCTTTTGGATATTATAATCAGCCAAAGTGCGTCCATCCTCCAATTGTTTACCGGCAAAGATCTGAATAGGGGAAATTAGACAAAATAAAACGAAAATTGAGACTTGAGATGTTAAAAGGAGTCAGAAAAGCTCATAGGAATAAATTAGAAAAATGAGGTTTAGGGGGCAAATCCTTATAGGGGCACAGCAGATCAGCCTGTTACTTTTAGTCGTTTCAGTGCAGACTGAATTTTTCTCTGCATCTTTTCACACTATTTTTTTCGCGTGCTATTTTTATAAGGATACGGTATATTTTGAGAGCCAACTTCGAGAAGCTTTATTTCGACAAATCTCTATAGATTTAAAAATTTGTCTTACAATATCGTAGATAATACCCTAAAGATACTTTTAAGAAAGAAAACACCAGAAATTTTCCGATATTCCGCTTTATAATCATCAATTTTGTATTAAACGCCTTTAGGTTTGTTTTAACCGGTAAACGGTTCCAAAGTCTTTCAATTTATGTATCATTCGATTCGGCTCGTCGAGCTGGGTCGAATGGCACCAAACTCAGGTCTCAGAACTGAATTTCGACCGAGATACATACCTTTTTCTTTCTTTCGCTTCAAAACGTCTAAGACTCTAGCTAAGACTCTAAAGGGGTAGTAACAGCCTTTGCCTATTTTGATCTGCTGTGTAGGGGGCAATAGAGGACTGTTGTATTTGCTGGTTAAGCGCCTTGACCAAGACATTAGTAAAGTAAATATCAAGTGAGATCCAAAAAACCCCTAAGAAGCGACTTTGGAACCTAGTAGAGAGCGAGATTTTCACAAAATCTTGACCTTGATTTCGGTTGCGTGCCTTGGACAGATTCTTGACCTTGAGTCAAGAAAAAATCAAGGAATGCCGAAAAATGCCTTGATCTGGACTCTGGATCCAGGAAAAATCAAGGTCTGGATACAGATCCAGCCCGCTCTCTAGAACCTAGAAGCCCTATGACCTTGGCCCAACACTTTTCAACCAATGAAATATGACTGATTTACAAAGAGCATCTGATCTCAAAACAACCCTATCCATCAAAACAAACAAACCAAACGCTGTTGATCCGGCGGAATGCCCTCCTTATCTTGAATCTTGGCCTTAACATTTTCAATCGTGTCAGACGCCTCAACTTCAAGCGTAATAGTCTTTCCGGTTAAAGTCTTGACAAAAATCTGCATCCTTGACTTGACTTGGTTTGATCAAAAATTTATTTAAAAGAACTGAAAAAAATTAAAATTGAAAAAAAAACAAAAAAAACTTTAAAAACAAAAAAAAACTTCGAAAAACAAGCCAAAAAAATTTTCTGACGCGTTTAAAAATTAAAAATACAGAACGCCAAAATCTGGAAAATACTAAATTTTAAAGGCGTTAATTCAAAAAATTATTGTAATGAGGCAACAGTTTTTTGCTTTTTCTCATTTTATTCTTCCTCATAAGCTTACGTTTAGATTAGCTAGGATAGTTGAATCAATTTTCATTGTTTTTTACTTTGATTTTTAAGCTTACCGATTTCCAATACTTTGTAAAAAATCAAGCTCTCAATTCACAGTTTACTGCCGTTGCTTTTTCCATTCCTAACATTTTCTAGGGATCGGAAATAGTGTTGGAGAAGTTCCAATATTTCTCGGAGCCTGTTCCAGCGCTGGAACTGCTTTTTGAATTTCTTCAGTTCCAGCCGAACCGGTTCCGGACCTTTGCCGGACCTTTTGTTCCTGAACTGAAACTTCTCCATAACTGATCGGAAATTTTAAAGAACCTCGATTCTTGTTTTTGGTCGAGGTTCAGACTCTAGATCTTAATCAGAGAAAAACTGAAAAATGCCTGATCTTGACTCTTGATACAGTAAAAATCAAGGCCTGATCCATGCCGATCTCCTATAGTTTGTAAAAAACCAGGCCCTGATTACTGCCGTTATTTTCTTTATTCTTGATATTTCCATTTAAATTTTTTTATTTTTCCAGCTCTCATCATTCTGACTATAACAGAACACAGAAAATTTAGAAGAAAAAGAAGAATATAAATTTAATTTAAATCAAGCTTTCCAATTCAACATATAAACATGGTAAGCTTACAAAAAGGTTTGATTTAAGTTAGTCATTAGGTTAGAGGCTGTTTTTCACTTTACCTATTCTAAAGGGTTTGTTCTAAGGGAGAAATATTTGGGTGGTGGTCTAACTCAAGTGATTCCAATTCACGAAACAGACAGGTCGCGGAACGACAAGTCTCTGAATTACCAAATCACAGCACACGGAAATATTCCATGGACTAGAACCGTTTTAGGCTTCGAGATCCTTGTTCGTTCAATAACAGGTCCCAGCTAGAACGAGGGAACTTTTTCGAATATTCGAAGGTTTTGGGCTTCCAGTCTGCAAGTAGCCTTTCTAAACTTCTCTACTTTTTATTGGTCTCTAGCTAAGATTGGGAATCTTGGGAGATTTTTCGAACACCCTGACTTTTGTGATTTGGGGTCCTGACTTGTGGGGTCCTGGCATCCTGACTTTCGGGGCTAGGGGCCCACCAACCCAATTTCGTTTAATTTTCGGATCTCCGGACTATTTTCCAAGCCCGAGCCCCCAACTCTACTCCTAGCATTTCCACATTTTCCAATTCTTTACACCGCCAAATTGTAGTTCAATTCATATTTTTCAGGCTTACGCATATAAAGATGATAAGAAGGCTGAAGAACCTCAACCTGTTGAGCGTATCCGCATTATTCTGACCTCACAGAACGTCAAGGCGTTGGAGAAAGGTTTCCTTTTTTTCTTATAATTTTTAATAAAAGAATCTTTAAAGTTTGTGAAAAGCTGATCCACGGTGCTCGTGAAGAACATTTGGCTGTCAAAGGCCCTATTCGTATGCCGACTAAAGTGCTTCGCATTACTACGCGTAAGACACCGTGTGGAGAAGGTTCCAAGACTTGGGATCATTTCCAGGTTTTTTTTATTTTTTTGGAAAATTCGTGAAAGGTGTTAGGGATAACTCTAGGAATTAAGGGTAGTGACTTTCCCTTTTTCTCTTCTTAACCGGCCTGGTTTTGTTAGGTTAGAGGTAGGATAGTTGAAGCTGTTGGAATGATTTCTGACAACTCTATCCATCCCTCAAGGTGTAGCCACAGGTCGATTTCGGGGGAGGGGGCTAACATTGGATGACCTCCAAAATTCTGGTCATCCCTTAAGCTTTTTCTGACGCTTTTATTGACTTTTCCTGAATATTTCCTATGGTTTTACTTTAACTGGAAAGCGCAAACTTAGAGAAATAAGAGAAGGATCCACTAAAAGTTTACAGGTCCCATTGTTTTCATTTATACGAGTCAGTGTTTTCCATTTGGGCACCTGAATCGAGAACCGTCAAAAATTAAAACCGTCAGAAATCTTAACTAATGACCAAACACGTAGTCAGGGAGCTCATCTTACTGCTGACTTTTCGGTTCTCGTAAACGGGGAGGCATCCTTGGTTTAGTTTTATGGGTGTCGCGGGTCTTGAATAAGGTTGTTCCTCGGCGGGGAAGGGGAGAGGTGATTTCAAAAAATGTCTCAAATTCACCGACTTTCGGGGACGGGGAACAATTCTAATCTAGAATAAGCATTTAGGCTAGTGTTCTCCCAACTCAAAAGAGTCAAAATTTGACTGTTACAATTAAAAGTGAAATCTTTTTAAAAATTTTAAATTTTCTCTTAACAACAGATGCGTATTCACAAACGTATAATAAATCTTCACAGTCCAAGTGATGTTCTCAAGAAAATTACTGGAATTCCAATCGAGCCTGGAGTTGATGTTGAGGTGACTATTGCTGATTCTAATGCTTGAGAGGGAAGAGGTTTGGAAGTTTTTTGGGGGAGAGGGTGTTTTAAAGAAAATAAAGTTAAAGAAAAAATTGTTGGCGTGACCCAAAATTTTTAAATTTAAAAAAATGTTGAATTTGGAGAAATTAAACTTTAATTGCTAAAGCATTATTGTTTATTTTTCTTTGCCTTTGTTATAAATTGTTTGTTGAATTTATTTTTAAAATTTGATTTTAAAAAAATTTAGGGTTTTCACTTTAAATAGTAAGCACCAAAAATCATCATTTGTATATTCAAATTTTTAACCCTAAAATCCCCCTATGGCTTTTGACCATTTCGAGCTCTATATCTCAGACCACAGGTAGAAAAATATATAAATATTTCCGGAAAACTTAAAAACTTAAGAACTTAAAATTTAATTTATTTTCCGGAAAATTAGGATGAATTACGAATTTTACGGAAGGTTAAATTATTTTCCGCAAATTTTTTTAGAATTAAAAAAAATTTTTTTAATTAAAATATTTTTTAGAAACTTAAGATCTTAAAATTTAAATTATTTTCAGGAAAAGTATAAATTTTCCTTCCCATTTCAATTCCCTTTTTAATTTATCCTTTAAAAAAATTTTCTTCAAAAAATTAATTTATCCCCTCTTCCAATTTGCTTCAATTCCTTCAGTAAAATTATTACTTGTTGAACACAAAACATTATTATTTTCACTGCTATTACAAGTCAATCCATTAATTATATTAATTGTTGCAGATGTTTCGTCTTCCTCCTCTTTTAATTTTCGTTGTTTTTCTTGTTTTCGCCACTTTGCTCTATTAAAAAACGAGTTAAACTGGTAACCTATTATCCCTCATAAAATTGAAAATTGGGCACCTTTAGCCATGAAATTTTGCATACATCTCTCTTATAGTGTTAGCTAATCCCATTACAAATTTCTAAATTTTTGGTTTAGTATAGGAAAAGTTATGGCCAAAAAGCTCCAAAAAGGATGGCATTTTCGCCCTTAAAAACGGCATTTTTACCCATAACTTTTCTTTTACCCAACCAAAAATTCTGAAATTTTTAGAATACTTAGATAACACCTTCAAGAATATCCCTACAAAATTTCAAGTCCGTAGGTTTTTATTTGACAATTTTATGAGCATCCGCGCCAGCAACATCCCCGCGCCCAAACACCCCTTTAATTTTACCTTCTATTCTGAAACCAAACTTGAACTCTAGCTTCAGTTAATTCAATCCTTAAAGCCAATTCTTCACGCATATAAATATCTGGATAATGTGTTTCTGCAAAACTACATTCTAATTGTTGTAATTGTGCAGAACTAAATGTTGTACGGATTCGGCGTTGTTTTCTGCGTTCGTTTGGATTAATGGAAGTTAAATGAGAGAATCCTTAAAAAATTTAATTTTTTAAAAATAATTTTCTTTGAATGAAAAAAAATATTTTTCTATTATTTTTTGAATTAAAAATTTTATGGACTCATAAAATATGTGATTTTGATTGGAACGAAAAAGATTGGGGCGGACAGGAATCGAACTCTACCAATAATAAGGCTGAAACCTAACGCCTTTACCACTACACCACCACTCAACTATGCGAGTTTTCTAATAAAATCAACTTAAGTGGTTTATTAATAAAATACTTTTCCGGAAAACTTAAATTTTTCCGGAAAACAAGTTTTTTAAGTGTAAACTTAGAAACTTAAGTTCTTAAGTGTAAACTTAAGTTTGCAAACTTAAAACTTAAGCGTGTTAAAATTAAAACTTAAGTTTGTTAAATAATTTAAAAATTACCGGAAAGAGGGAAAACAGAGGAAGACGTGGCACCCGATGATGAAGTTGTTGTTAATGCTGGTTTAATTTAAAAAATCTTTTTTCCCTTTAATTTAAAATAAAATGTACCTAAACTATTAAAAATAGGTAAGTTAATAGTAGATGAAGTTGTTATTATATTTGAAGATAGATTTGTTTGAGTTTGTTGCCGTCCTCGAGTATTGTTGTTATATTGTTGCTGTTGGTTGGTGTCTCTTAAAAAATATTTTTTGAGACTCCTTTAAAGTTTGGGGTGGTAAAAATATAACGATGGTCCTCAATATACTCTTGGGGTATCTTAGGAAAGAGTTTGCAAAGGTTTAGCCACCGGGCAAGATTGAACCTGGCACCTCCTCGTAGTTGTTGCTAGGCGTTTTCGTTCACCACATACAGGAGTTCTACCATTGAACTAGCGGGGCACCGACAATGCGTTCTCTTTTATCCTTTTGGACCGTTAAACCACCGCCTAAGCGCTTTAAATACTGCTAGGTGAATCATCCTTACACTTATAATGAGGTGTATTTTACTTGGAGGCTATTGTGGTCTCTATCCCTAATGGCCTCCCAAACTAGAGAATTCTCTAAATAGAGGGGGATTTCACTCTAATAGCGAGATCAGTCTATAATTCTTAAATTTAACACGCCTTGCAACAGCCATCATCATTTGCTGCATTTGTTGTTGTTGCCCATATGAAGTATTTCCATAATGTCCGTACATAAGACTTTGAGCATGATGGGCAAGTTGATTACCTGTTGAGGGTATTCCAGCATAAAATGCACTGGTTGGAAAACCCATGAAAGGGCCCAGTGCAGCCATCATTGAGTGTGGAGCTGTGAAAGAATAGTTAAATGTAACCGGAAAACGTAGGGTTAACTGGAAGCTAAAACTGTGGTTATCTAAAGTCAACAGACAAACTCTATACCCAAATACATTCCGGAAAACTTAAAAATAGAATTATTTTCCGGAAACTTAAGAACTTAAGATCTATCCCGAAAAAATATTTCCGGAAAAGAACCTGAAATCTATCCGGAAAAATTATTTTCCGGAGAGAAACATTATTTCCGGAAACTAGAAATAAATAGAAATATTCCCGTAAACTTAAGTTCATAACTAGCTTTCTGGAAAAGTTCCGGAAACAATTATTATTAGCCTAATTATTAATCTTCTTACAAGCATTCTGCTGTTGTAATTGTGTTGAACCATTACTTAGATTTGTATTAATATAAGGAATTGAGAAAACATTTAACGGGTCTGTATTATTTGTTGATGCTTGTTCCTCTCTATTTTCTTCGTTTATCAAATCAGTCTGATTATTATTACTCATATAAAATAATTAAAAATTAAATTCTGACTTTAGGGGAAAAACAAGATTTTGAGCGAGGTAACGTTAGGCGCGCTGTTATAAAAATAGCTAAGCTTGACCTAAAATTATGAAATTTTCCATAAATATACCTAACAGTGTTAGTTAACAAATTTAAAAATTTCAGAATTTTTGGTAAAATATTTTTAAAGTTATGGTCAAAAAAGACCAATTTTTGAGTGAAAATGTCAACTTTCTGTACTTTTTTGACGATAACTTTTCAGAAAGTTTTTCAAAAATTCTGAAATTTTTAGGGGAGTTAGAGGAGACTATTATGAAGGTCTATACAAAATTTCAGAAATTTAGGTTCTCTACAAGCTATAATTTTAAAAGCCGTCACAGCGCGCCTCGACGTTCCTCTCCCAAGCAACACTTATTAAATAAAATTTTTTAAAAATAAATTTAAAATAAAAAAATTTTAATTTTACTAATTTAAATAAATCTGACTATAAAATGTTTAAACTAAAATTACATTTTTATAAAAACAACAAAATTTTCTTGGAAGAACCAAAAAGCATTTACCAATATAAATTTAATTTAAATAATATTATACTTGCCTTAATTTGTTTTTGTCTCTTTTTCTATTTAATCCAATCCGGATAATTTGCAAAACACACATTGTGCTGTTAAATAAAAATAAAATAAATTTTGGCAATCCAATAATACCGTAATTTTGTTAGTTATAGGGTTGTTTAAGCGTGGGATTTTGGCGTGCCAAATTTGTTCTGGCGCGTGTAAAATTGTCAGATTTTAAGCTAAAATTCTGAAATTTTGCAGAGTTATCCTTCTTATTGATATCTGACATCTTTAAAAATTTTAGAATTTTTGGTTCAGTAGAGGATTAGTTCTGGTCGATAAACTTGGTCGTGTAGAACATGGAGTGGAGAGGTTGTTCTAAAGCTATTAACATTGTCAAATGAAAAGCTAAAATTCTGAAATTTTGCATGATTATTTTTACTGATGATATCTAACTCTTGGAAAAATTTCAGAATTTTTGGTTCAGTAGAGGACTGGTTCTGGTCGAAAATCTTGGTCAAGTTCACTAGAAAAATTAAGCTAATTTTAAAATTTAATTTTTTTTAATTTTTAAAAATTTCTTTTTCAATTTTTCTTTCTTTAAAGTGTTCAAAAAAATAAAATTTATAATTCTGATTATTCTTTTTTATTCAAAAAAGTCTAAAAATATAAAACTATACACAATATTCCCATGGTTACCCCTTTTTAGTAATTTTTATTTATTTTCTTTTTTCGTTTCTTTTGTTGGGAATTTTATTCTTCGTTTCAATTAAGCTTAAAAATTCTCTAAAAATTAAAAAAATATTTTAAATTAATTTTATTTAATTTTTTATTTAATTAATTTCCTTTTTCTCCTTTAAAATATTTTTTAAAAAATTATTTTTATTCAAATAATTTTTATTTTTGAATAAAAAAATGAATCAACAAGAAGATGATTGTTTAAATAATTCTTCATGTAATAATAATGCAGTAAATAATGAATTAGGAAGACAAGAATGGTATTTATTTAGTAAATGTTAAAAACAGTCTTTTTGTTCTCTATCAGAATTTAATTTTTAAAAATAATTCTGATTAAAATTCTGATTTTTTAAAGCTTTCCGGAAACAATTCTGATTAAATTTCTGATTTTGTAAAACATTCCGGAAGCAATTCTGGTACAAATTCTGATTTTTTAAAAAGGCTTCTGAAGCGATTCTGATTAAAATTCTGATTTTGTAAGACATTCCGGAATCAATTCTGATTTTTTAAAGAGGTTTTTGAAGTAATTCTGATACAAATTCTGCTTTTTATTACACTTTCCGGAAACAATCTGACTAAAATTCTGATTTTTGTAATTTCAGAAATAGTTCTGGTCAAAATTCTGATTTTTAAACCTTTCCGGAAATAATTTTGATTATTTCTATTTAACTTTCCGGAAGTAATTCTGGTCAAAATTCTGATTTTTATTAATATTCGGGAACCAATTCTGATTTAAATTCTGAATTTTGTTAGAGTTTCTGAATCAATTTGAGTAAATTTCTGATTTTTATTAATTGTTCCGGAAGCAATTCTGACTAAAATTCTGATTTTCCAAGTTTTCCGGAAGTCTATTTAATTGCATAATATTAACTGAATTTTTCTTAATTTTTTTCCGGAACGACCATATTTTCCTCTAATTTTTTAAATTTATTTTAAATTTAAGGGACAACTTTGGAGAGATTCCAGAACTCCCAACAGGCCAAACACTTCGTTTTGAATTATTATCACCTTGGGATGACCCAACTTATATAGGTTTGGGGCGTATTGAAATATTCAATTCTCAAGGAGAACGCCCCTCAATAATTAATACATTCACAAATTCTTTGGAAAATTATGGAAATTTATTTAATTTATTTGGAGAGGAAAGACAACAACAAAGACCTTCTACTAGCCCTTTAATTAATAAAAAAAGTAAAAATATTAACAGAAATGAAGTTGTAAATAATAATGAATATTTGTTGAATAGAAATAATAATACACAATGGTAATTCTGATTTTTTAAAAATAATTCTGATTTTAAAGATAATTCTGATTTTTTAAAAATAATTCTGACTTTCTTTTTCTTTTAGTGATTCTGATTTTTAATAATTCTGATTTTTAAAAAATAATTCTGATTTTTATTTAGTAATTCTGATTTTTTAAAAATAATTCTGACTTTCTTTTAGTGATTCTGATTTTTAATAATTCTGATTTTTATTTAGTAATTTTGATTTTCTTCTGTTAATTCTGATTTTTTAAAAACAATTCTGATTTTATTTAATAATTCTGATTTTTAAAGTTTTCCGGATTATTAATATTAAAATTATAAGTTTCGTATAGTTTCCGGAAAATATTTAAAATCAGAATTCTTTTTCCGGAAATATACTTTTAATTTTATAAGATCAGAATCCGTTCTAAAATATAATTCTGACCTGTATTTAAATAATAATTCTTCCGGAAAATATTCTATAAAACTTATTATTTCCGGAAATACAATTCTGGTTTTATAAGGCTTCCCGGAAATAATTTCTCTGTATAATTCTGATTTAATAATTTATATATAAAATTTCCTTAAAATATTCTGATTTTTATTTGAACTTTACAAAAATATTCTCCCAATTTTTAGGCTTTGTAATTACCGTGTTTTACCTTCAGTCGAACCAATCCATATAGGTGCCCATTTCCGTGGAGCTCAAACGTTGGCTATGATTAGGATTAGGGTAAATTTTAAAAATTAAATCTAATTAACAAAAATTATTTTTTGAAGAATTATGCTGGTTCACGAATACATGCATTACGAGGTGTTCGCAATTTGAGAATATGGCTAGACAATTTTTGTATATTTTATGGAGAGATTTGCTGCGCCGTTGGTAATTCAACGACGGGAGATGTAAGGCGATAATAATCAGAATTTTTATTAAAAAATAATTTATTTTCCGGAAAGGTATAATAGGTATATAAATAAATTCTGGTATAGTTATATAAAATTCCGGAAAATATAAAATTCCGGAAAATATAAAATTCCGGAAAGCTTAATAATAATAATTTCTGAAAATAATAATAATAAATTCTGATTTCTATATAAAATTCCGGAAAGTTTAATTAATTATACTTGCAGGTATGAATTCCGGAAAATACAAGAAAATAATTACATAAAATACAAAATCAGAATTATTGTGTATTTCTCGAAAATACAAATCAGATACTTTTCCGGAAATATAAATAGGTATATTTCCGGAAAATATATAAATTCCGGAAAGTTTATAAAAATACAAATTAAATAAATTCTGATTTTTGCAACAGTAATTTGTGTTATTTTCCTAACTTCTGTACTTTCTCAATTAAAATTAATTTTCTTTTGTCTTGCTTAACTAATTTAAATTTTCTAAATTTTCCATTTTACAGACAATTTTATTTACAACTAACGAAGAAATTCTTGCAAAAATTGCAGAACACGATGAACAAATTTTACAAATCCCTGAGCAACAGCAACAAGATTCGCTGGGGGATAGCAATCAACAAAATTTAACCATTTTGGCTGCTTTACAACAAGCAGGATTTGCGGCTGCTGGTAGAATGGAACGTTAGTAAAAAGAAAAAATCAGAATTATTTTAAAATCAGAATAATAAAAAAATCAGAATTTTTCAAAAATCAGAATTATTTTAAAATCAGAATAATAAAAAAACAGAATTATTTGAAAATCAGAATTGTTTTAAAATCAGAATAATAAAAAAATCAGAATTCTAGAAAAATCAGAATTATGGCAAAATCAGAATTATTTATGCAAATTCCGGAAACGTCAATAATACATATTTCCGGAAAAATAAAATAATTTATAGTTACTTCCGGAAAACCTTTATTTCTTTCCGGAAAAACTTCATAGTTTCCGGAAACATGCATACAATATCAGAATTTTTTCAGAACAAATAAAAATACATAAATCAGAATTATTGTTCATTTCGAGAAAATACAAAAATCAGAATTTTTCCGGAAAATACAAAATTTTGTATTTTCAGCTCTAGTACAATCCAACGAATTACCCTGCGTAACCGCCGCTCATTTTCGCCCTACAACGGGTGGATACAATAATAATATAGCCCCATCATCTGCCTCTCCTCCACGTCAAGTTCTTCCTGTCTCCGATGGAGAATGTTCTCTTTCTCTTCAAAATAATTTAAATTCTGATTTAAATCAAAAAGAAAAAGATAAAGGGGAGGAGGAGGAAAATGAGGAAAATTTAGCTGATTTAGATGATAGTTGTGTTGGGAAGGTTTTAAAAAAACTTTTTAAAAATTAAAAAAAATTCTCCAGTTATTCCACATGGAGTTAGTAGAAAGTTGGGGAAGTGCTGACTCCATAGGCCTCACAGGTGTTCAATTTCTGGGTCCAGGATTTGCTCCAATAGACGACAACCTTGCTAAGGAGTGCGTGGTAAGGTGTGAACCTGTTGTAGTGGTTAATGAAGAAAGGCAGCCAGCAAAGACGGGAGATTTGAATAAGTTGGAAATTTTTAAATTACAGCCGGACTCACTTATGGGATGCTCCCGTGGGGTTGAGAATATACTACCTTATAATGAGAGTATTTTAAATAGAAGTGTGTCTAATATTGGGTGTATATTGAATAGAAGGTATCTAATATTGGATGTCTCTTAAATAAAGGGTGTGTCTAATATTGGATGTTTCTTGAATAGAAGGTATCTTAAATAGAGGGCGTCCAATTTTGGTTGTCTCCTATAAGGAGAGTCTCTTGAATAGAGGGTATCCAATTTCGGTTGTCTCTTATAATGAGAGTATCTTAAATAGAAGGTATCCAATTTTGGTTGTCTCTTATAAAGAGAGTCTCTTGAATAGAGGTATCCAATTTTGGGTGTCTCTTATAATGAGAGTATCTTAAATAGAAGTGTATCTTATATTGAAAGTCTCTTAAATAGAGGTCTGACTTCATAACAAAATATTTTTTTTATTTAAGCCTACTAAATGGTATAAATTTAACTTGTGATCCCAAAAATATGTGGATAATGACTAGAGAAGTTTCTGAGGATGATTTATTAAAACAATCTTCAATATTCTTGAGTTTTACCTTCCCAAGAGAAGTAAGAATATCAGGTAGGGTTTTTTAATTTATTTCCGGAAAGATTATAATTATTATATTTTCTTCCGGAAACTCTTTCCGGAACAATTATTTATTTCCGGAAATATCTCCGGAAAGTTTCTATTTTTCCGGAAAACTTTTATTCCTTTCCGGAAATTTTCCGGAAAGCTTTTTTTCCGGAAAAAAATTCCGGAAACTATTATTTCTTTCCGGAAAGTTTTTATATATTTCCGGAAAATGGTTACTCATTTCCGGAAACATAATTAAACAGTTTCCGGAAATAATTATTTTTCCGGAAAAAATTTTCAAAAATATTATGCAGGCATAAGTATTTGGAATTACAACGCCTCAACTGAATTAAGCTATGCTGGTGTACGTTATGCCCGTTTTTATGCTAATGGACGACCGATTAATGGATTGGGGGATATTTTATTGAGAAGGGCGCCTGGTTAATTTTCAAATTAAAAAAAATATTTTTCAATTCCAGGTTTTGTTTTCTTCGATTTTGTTCAAGATGTTCTTTTCGATCGGTGTCCAATACAGCGTCCTTTGAGTTGCGCACGTCCTCAAACACGCTCTGTTGCTGCATGTAAATATTTGTGTTTTTTCAGGGGAAATCAGAATTTTCCGGAAAGATTATAATTATTTATTTACTTCCGGAAAACTTTTATTCAGAAAAATCAGAATTAATTCTTCAGGAAAACCTATTTTTCCCCTTAAAATACAATACTCATAAATACACGAGAAAATACATAAATAAAAACCAGAATAATTGCTTCCGGAAAACCAGAATAAGATAAACGAATAAAAAATAAAAATCAGAATTTTCCGGAGATTATAATATACCGTATTTTCTCTAAAATAGCCCCCGGGGGTTATTTTTTTCGATCAACCTCTAGAGGGGGGGGTTATTTTAGAGGGGGGTTATTTTAGAGAGAGGGGGGGGGGTTATTTTAGAGAAAATACGGTATTTACTTCCGGTAAACTATCATTCTTTTAAAATAGAATAATTCCGGAAAACTTGAAATAATACAAAAATCACAAGTTAATTAAAAGATTCCGGAAAGTTTAGAAAAATCAGAATTAATTCTTCCGGAAAACATCTGAATAATTGTTTCCGGAAAACATAAATAAAATATAAAAATCAGAATTTTAAATAAATCAAAATTTTAAATAAATCAGAATTTTGAAAAATCAGAATTTAAAAAAAAAATCTGAATTTAAATAAATCAGAATTTTTATAAAAATCAGAATTTAAAAAAAATCAGAATTTTTCTAAAAACCAGAATTTTCGTAAAAATCAGAATTTTTGTAAAAATCAGAATTTGAAAAAATCAGAATTTTCAATTAAACTCTCCATATTTTCAAGTCATTTTTCAACTTCGTCTTCTTTCCACTTGGGGAGATGAATTCTACATTGGATTAAATGGAATAGAACTCTTCAATCGTCAAGACAAACTAATACGTTTACACCCCCAAAATTTAGCAGCCTTCCCAGAAAGCGTAAATTGTCTAACTTCAGTAAAAGACGATCCCCGAACTAGCGATAAATTAATTGATGGGTGTAATGATACAAATAAGCCTTACCATATGTGGTTAACTCCTATACTACCTAATTCGTGTGCTCGGATATTTGTGATATTCGATACGCCAACATATGTGACTAGAATTAGGGTTAAAATTTTTTATTGTTTAAAAATGTGCATAAAAATCAGAACTATTTCCGGAAAATTAAATAGAAAAGTTTCCGGTTATATACATAAAGAAAAATAAAAATCAGAATTTTTAAAAATCAGAATTAAAAAAAATCAGAATTTTTAAAAATCAGAATTAAAAAAAATCAGAATTTTTAAAAATCAGAATTAAAAAAAAATAAAAATCAGAATTTTTGTATTTTTAATAAAATACAAAAATCAGAATTACTTCCTGAAAATTAAACACAAAAGTCCGCTTACATACATATAAAAAATCAGAATTTTTTATTAATTTCTGGGAAACTTAAATCTGCTGTTACACCCGAAAATAAAAAAAATCAGAATTCTTTAATCAGAATTATTAGTAAAAATTAAAAGAGTATATTTATTAATTCAACAGATTTACAACTACAGAAAAACAGCGGCTAGAGGCGTTCGCCACATTGCTGTAAGAGTATAATTCTCTATTTCTTAATAAAAAATTTTTCGCAGATATCTGCCGATGATTTATTGCTTTGTTCTGGTGCGGAAGTGCCCGCTAGCAGCGCAGAAGCAACTGGAATTTTGGATATTCCCTTGCGAGATTTTGAAGGGGAATAAATTGTGATTATAAAAAAATTTTGGCTCTAGTTTGGAACGTGCGTCCTATGAGTTTCTATGCGTCCCCTGATCGCTTAAGCGTCCCATATGAAAACTCCAGTCATAAACCCAGTCATCTTAAGTTATGACTGGGTCATCTTAAGCAAATTTCCCAGTCATCTTAAGTACCTAACTTTCCAACCATGTATATCAGGGGTGTGCCGAAACAGATTTTAAAAAGCGAAACACGAAAAGGCGAAAGTCATTTTAAAAAGCGAAAGGCGAAAGACGAAACACCAAAAAAGACGAAAATAAGGCGAAAGACGAAACGGCACACCCCTGCTGTATATCCTTAAACACTTATGGGACGCACAAAAGTTCATGGGACGCATTTCCTAAACTAAAGTCAATAAAAAAAATTTTTTTTTGTAAAATAAATTTTTGACTAAAAAATATTTTTATTTTAGCTTTATTATTAAAATTAAAAAATAATTTTTTTTAAAAACAATCTCTGCGACAAAGAAAAAAATTTTTTTGGAATAAAAAATAGGTATATTTTAATTAAAATTTTTCACAAAAAATTTTTTTCCTTTTCATTTAAATACTAGCCCTACCAAATTTTTTAGTAGCATCTTTTAAACGCATCATTGTTTGATAAAAATGTGTTCGTATTCTTAAAACATTTAATTCTGTTCGACCTTCTGGATTTTTACAATTTTTTGCTGTACAGCGACAAGGATATCCTATTACTGGACTTGATTCGGGAATTGTATAATCAACCTATATAAATTGAAAAATTGAAAAATTTAGAATCTAAAAAATATTCATGAGGGGGAGAAAAAAAGAATTATTTTGGGGGGAATTTTGAATGGGGAAAGGTTCGAAAAACATTGAATTTTAATCCTTGAAAGGCTCTTTTACTTTCTGCTCCTAAAAATTATTTTGGAAGAAAAAAATAAATTTTGGAGGAATATGTAAAAGCACTAGGAATGGGATTTTCGAATCGGGCGGACGTTCGAGTCATTCTTTCGGTCGGCCCGACAGAGTCTTCGGGCCAAAATTCAATGCCCGACTCGATCTTTCGGACCGGGACCCAAAATAGCCCCCAACTCAAAAAAGCACGATTTGTATAGACTTTAGGGAGTACAAAGAAGAAAGATATCTTCCCTAAATTTAAGTTTGCGGACTGAATCAGATTTTTGACTTGAAGGTCAAATTATCGAAAAATTAATATTAGGACTATTATGGGCAAAAAATTTCCCAAGAAAATGCCTTTACTAGAGAAGAAAAAATACACAAACATTTTCAACCTGGCACTTGATTCCATTCCGAGCGCATTCACATTTATTTGGTAAGCATTTTCCACCTCTACATTGACATCCACATTTATTGCGACTTTTGGATATTGCATATGTATTTGAAGTGACATTCTATAAAATTAAAAATTTTTCAGAAAAAATATTTTAAAAAGGAAAAAAAGATTTTTTTGGTGATTTTTGGTTAGTCAACCTGCTTCAACCAAAATTTATTTTCGATCCAAAAGTTTTTGGAGAATTTGGAATGAGGGTTTTTTTCAAAATTGAACAGGTTTGTCTAGAAACGTCAAATGAGCTATCATTTGTTATTAGCTCATTTGTCGAAAATGCCCGAGGGTAAATGGCAAAAGAAAATTGAAAATACTAGAAATTCTAAAAATTTCACTGACCCCAGAAAATCAACCAAATCTAATTTTGGACCCAAAATGTACAGGCCCAAAATGTTTAAAATCACATTCAAAAAGAAAAAAGACCCCCAAATTAAAAATAAAATTAACAAAAAAAACCTGATCAATAACAACTCCCGAATCTTCCAAAATAGCCCTTCTTAAAGGTTCATAAACTTTGCATTCATCAAAGTATTCTTCTCCACTAACTAAATATTCATCTTCAGAGTTACTGCAGCTTTGTTCCAATGCTTTATCAGCCATAATTCTTTTCTTCTTTTTAGAAGGCGGTTTTTCTTCTCTCAAAGATTCTTCCAATTTTTGTGAAGTAGAAAACCAATTTCTGTATTTCATTCTCTGAAAAAATAAAAAAAATTTTTTTTTGAACAAAAAAAATTTTTTTAAGCTTTAAAAAAATTTTTAGAATTAAAAACATTTTTTTTTGTTCAAAAAAAATTTTTTTTTGAACAAGAAAAAATTTTTTCCTTATCATTTCATCACTTCTCCCAACTAAAAAATATCCTAAAAATCAATTTTCCCCCCACAAAAAAAATTTTTTGGAGCCAGCGAGGATTTATTTTCTTTATTTTCGAAAATTATTTATTTTTTTTTAAATTAAATTTAAAAATATTAAAAAAAATTTTCTTTTTCTTTGTCCAGGTATTATAACAAGGTTCTATAATTTTATTAAAATTCCCTATAAAAATTTAAAAAAATTTTTAAAAAAATTAAAATAAATGAAAAATATTAAAAAAAATTTTTTTTAATTTCAAAAAAAATTTTTTATGACCCTCAAAATTAAAAAAAAAATTTTTCGAAATTTTTAAAATCAATTTTTAGACCAAAAAAACAATTTTTCCCCCACAAAAAACTTTTTGGAGCCAGCGAGGATTGAACTCGCGACTTCTCGCATGCGAAGCGAGCACTCTACCACTGAGTTACAGCCCCACACTGGTCAGGTTGTTTTAAATAGGCTTATAAACTTTAAGTTAAATTAAGTACTAACGTTCTCAGCCTGCTTGTAAATCAGAAATTCGTCTACTGTGAAAGTGTGCTTTGCGTGGTGACGACGTTCCATACCTTTAAAAATTTGTGTGAATTTGGAAATATTTTTAAGATGAATTAAAAGGAAAAAAAATATTTTTTTGAATTTTAAAACAATTTTTTTAATTAAAAAATAGTAAAGAGGTCCTAGAGAAGTCCGCCCTTCTCCCACTGACTAGAGATTGAGCTGGGTCTGGACCAAGGTCTGGGGTTTTCCTGTACACAGAGTCCAGGCCCAGGCATTTTTTGACCTTCCTGGGGTTTCCTGGACCTAAGATTTCTCCTGGACTACAGGCCCAGGATCTGGCCCAGGTCAATAAATCAAACCCGAAACCATGGAGCAAGTCCAGGCTTCTCAAAAATCTTGATCTCTACCCCTGACTTAACAACAGTTCTAGCTAAAAATAAAAAAATTTCCAATGAACGAAAAAAATTTATTTTTATTTGCCCAAATTTTTTTCAAAAAAGCCTAATCGCCTTGCTATTCTAAGGAATATTTCTTAATATTTTTAAGACTTAAACTAAATTTTGGAGTAAATCTAGACCTCTAAAAAAGCCCAGCGTTGAAAAAACTTAGAAAGAAAATTTTCAAAAAAATTTAAATGAATACCCAAAGAGACACAACCATTTGAAGGAACAGTATCAACTCCTTGTGCAAATCCAAATTTGTAAACCTCAATACTTCCAAATTTGACCCGATTTTTAGGCTTAACTTCATCATCTTCTTCTTCGTCGCTATCATCTGAGGGTGGAAGAAGGGCATTATTGGCCAAGCTAGAAAATTTGAAAGTTTGAAAGAATGCGCATTAAATTTATGGTTCCAAGATAGTTTAGGGCGCCTTTTTTCCTTCACATTAATTCCTGTACTTATTCTAACTCTAAAAATTATCGTTATGGAACAAGGGCTGTAACACTAAAAATTGAAATATTTTCTTTAAAATAAGGAGAAATAGAGGGAAGGGAGAGGAAGAAGGTGGCTTCTAAAAGACAGTCTTGACCCTTAATTTTGACGCAGGATCAGGAAAAAAAACATAGATCGGCCTGGATCTGGATCGAGCCTTTTTTCCTTGATCCAGAGACAAGATCAAGGCATTTTTCAGTGTTCCTTGATTTTTCCTAGACTCAAGGTCAAGAATCTAGTTAGGACCTCGACCAGAATTAATCAAGGGGTCTAAAAAGGATAATTTTCCGTTGTCCCTACTGACTTCTTGCGGACATTTTATTCTCTTTTCGGAGTAGCCAATATTTTCTTCAAGCATTTAATCATAGAAAAGAGAAGAAATGATTGAGAAAAATGGAAAAATTTTCCTAAGGGAAATAGAGTAAATGAGGAAGAGCTGTGTGTACATAATGAATAAAATGTCTGCAAAAAGACCCTAAGGAGTTCCCATGCCCTAATAAATTAAAAAGATTAAAAAATTAAAATTTAATCCCAAAAATTATTTACACTGAAACTTTAGTAGAAGACGACGGCAATTGTTGATGCTCCTCCACTTTTACATCTTTTTCCTCATCGTCGGATTCATCAGAAGGTGGAAACAATGCATTATTGGCTAGTCTTAAAAAGAGGATTTTTTATTTAAATAAAAAATTTAAAAAAATTTACACTGAAACTTTGGGAGAAGGCAGTTTTTGTTTATTCATATTATGGCTAATTGAAAATTTAAAAACAAGTGAGATTCAAACAAAATTGGAATCCAGTAAATAATTTTAAGTAATCTGAAAATAAAAATAATTAAATAAAAATAAGGAAAAAAATAATAAAAAGGGGGAGAAAGCTGGGAGTAAGCTGCGTCCGACTTTGCCGCTTTAATCAACGACCTTTCGTTATTTGCGTTAACTTTCGGCCTTGCGTTGCGTTTTTAAAGGTTGTCTCTTGCGCCCAGCCTTGTTGGACACTAGTGTTTATATAAAATCGCTCCTGCTTTAAGAACAAGAGTGGTAATGAGTTTTCGCTAGAGGGCGGCAAAATCATGTTTGCGTGATCCCGAATTGTAAAGCAATAAAGCTATCTAATTTTTAAAGCTATGTATGCAGGAGGCGGCGTGGTATAACTGATAGCACATCAGTCTGGTCAACTAAAGATGCTAGTTTGGCTCCCAGCTGCAGAAAGTCTCCCAGCTGTTTGCCCCGGAAGAAACATCTACCGCCGTACAGGAACCGGATCCAAAGCCTAGCTTAAAGCAGCAACAAGGACTCTAACATACTTTTATTTCTTAAGCTGTCTAACCGTCTCTCAATTTCAACATACTCACTCATCAATTTTTCTCTTCCACAATAGAAAGAAAAAATAAAAACATAACGCCAATCCTTTAGCCAACAGTTAAAAATTTCAAAACCTTTTGAAAACTATTTTTCACTTTAATATTTTTTTCACGTTAGGATGCATTCAGATTCTACTTTTTAACACGTAAGGCGAAAATTTTTGTAATTTTAGAGGGTTAAGAAGCCAGAAATCCGTGTACAGCCCAACTAGGCGCGCGGCCATAACGGCGCAAAGCCATAACTTGCTTCATGATTTCCGAATCTTACCAAATTTAGTATTAATCGATTCCTCCCATCGAGATAAATAGTTTAGTACCAAAATTGATATGTGCCAGAAATTAGCCAGCAAGTTATGGCCTTGCGCCGTTATGGCCGCGCGCCGTTTGGGCGTGTCCCAGAAATCCTTCGTTTTCAGAAACCTTAGAAAATACAAATATTTTTCAGTATTCCCCTATTCGAGGTTTTTCTATTATTCTGCGTGACGGGATCCCGCGGGATAAGTTCCGCAATAAAAATGCTGTCTTTATCTCACATGAACTTATTTAATAATTGTTTCTAATTACCCATCAATCATTTTACGTTTTATGAGCGTGACAGACAAATAATTGGGGAAAATATTTTTTTGTCTTAAATTTTTTTTTCTTCGTAAAATTAAAAATTGTAGTAAACAAAAATTAAATTTTTTAATTTATTTCCCTTTCATTTTCAGAGAAAATTTTCTTCTCTTAAATTAAATTTTATTTTTCTTCAAAAAAAAAATAATGACGCCTCATTTGGAATCTAATTGGGAGCATTATATTCAACATGTAAAATTTTGGAGAACAGAAGTTAAACGTTCACTTGGAGAAATGATTAGCAATTTGGAAATTGTTTGTAGTGGCAATGGGAAACCAACAATTTTTGGACTGGCAGCGGCTCCAGGAGATTCGTCTTTCAATCAAATATTGATGCATGCTGAAATTTCTTTAGGTTTTTTAATTTTTAAAAATTTTTTTTGGAAATTTTGCTGGTCCTTAGAAAAAGGGGGAAGAAGTGCTTTTTTTGATATTTCTTGGGGTCGCCAGTAGTTGAGTCATCGGAAGTTCCGGTTTCGGAAAGTTCCGGTGTTTTTTGGTTCCGGGAACCGGATTGGGTAATAGTGTAGAGATCGAGATTTTTGGAAAGCCTGGGCCTTCCTTTACTCTGGATTTGATTTATTGACCAAGGCCGGATCCTGGGCCTGTAGTTCAGGAAAACCCAGGCTTAGAAAAAACCAGGAAGGTCAAAAAATGCCTCGGCCTGGACTCTGGGTACAGGAAAAACCCCCAGGCATTGGTCCAGACCCAGGCAGATCTCTAGTCGAGTGTGCTGTCTGGGTTCTGAAAAAAATTTTAAATCCAACTTTGAATTCGGTTTAGAAATTAGAATATCGAAAGAACACTTCCTCATTTTTTCTAGGTATCAGTAAAATATACTTCTTTCAAAATTATTTTTATTTAGACGATTTACCTTTAAATTCTGATGATTTAATGGAAGAACGACCAATTTTGGAGTTGAAGCCAATGTTTGATTTTGCAGCTAAAATTCAGGTTAATTTTTATGGTGTTTTAGGGGGACGATTCTCCTAAAATTCTCAAAATTTTCGCCTGAGGCGCTGAAAATAAAAATTTTGGCGCCTTCGGCGCCAAAATTTGGCGCAGAAAAAATTTTCCCCCCTTGGCCCCCCCCCTGACTACGGGCCTGACTCTTTATTTTAGGAAGTGATTCTGTGTCGAGTTATAGGTTCCAAAAGATTAAAAACCATAGGAGATTAAGTTGAATTTTTTGGTGACCAAAAATTCCAAAATTTTCTAACCGAAAATTAAAATTGCCCTCTTAATATATTCTCAGTAATTCGGAAAAAATTTATCAAAAAATTTTTTTCTTTCAAGTTTCAGCCTCAAACCCCTTCAAAAGATTTATCAACAGATGACCAACAACAATCCAAATTGCCCTCAGAATTGGCTCTTCACTATGAACGTTTACGAGGTCAATTATCTTCTGGGGTAGTTTCCTATGAAAGACATGCAGAAAATGGGGCATTTTTAATTTGTACATTTACTCAACTTTTTATTTATAAGGTTTCTTTTATTTTCTTAAAATTTTGGTAATATTGAACCTGACAGACCCTATTTTTTGCTCCCCAAGTTTCTTTCCTATATATTTGCAGAATGGTGTGAAAAATTGGGTTGGACTGCTGTCCTTCGATCCAGGGCCCCTTTTCTCCAAACTGCGGCCTAATCCGTTCAGCCATCCAACCACCCATCGGCTGGTGCGAATTTGTTGTTTATTAGCAGCCGATTTCCTTTTTCCTCTGCTCTTACTTTTCTCCTTCGCTAACTAGTTAGCGACAATGGTCAGACTTCTTTCATTCTTCTATCCAAGGGGTGATAAAAATTAATTCCTTTTGAGTGTAAGCTAAATATAGAAAGGCAATTGAAATGGAAGCAAAGAAAAAGTCTGACCATTCTGCAGATATATATGAAAGAATTTGGGGAGGAAGAAATGGGGTCGGTTAGGTTCAATATTGCCAAAAAAATTTTTTTCTTTAAAGAATAATATCCGCTCACAAATTGCTCAATGGCTACCTCCTCAATCTTTTTTGATGAATGCTTCCTTTTGCAAAATAACCTCAGATTTTGTTGCTTTTATCTCTGGGAATCAATTATTTATTGATAGGTTTTGTTTTTTTATAATTTTTTTTCTGAAAATTTTTCCTCATTAAAATGTGCTATTTTTAATCAAAATTTAGAATAAATATAGGTCGGGCTGTAAAAAATGAAAAAAATTCCTCAACTTTTTAATTTCCGGTGGGTTATTTTAGACTTGCATTACTCTCTTGCAACGACCATTTAACTTACAGGGGAACATCGTCTACTGTCAGTGCGAATTTGATCATTTTTTAATAGCATTCGATAGAGGACCCTCGACTAGAGAATAGAGGACTCCTCAATAGTAAGTCGAGGGTCCTCTATCGAATGGTATTAAAAAATTATCAAATTCGCACTAACAGTAAACGATGTTCCCTTGTTAGTAACATCGTTATCATCACCCCTTTCCGAAATTCAACTCTAGTCTCGGAATTTGGGATGGGCCGATTTTAGAATAAAGTTGGTCTGTTTCGGATTTCGGATCGGGTTTTCATCGGATCGGGTTTTTGGTTAAAAGACGTCCTGGTATGTGTTTTGGATAGTCTACCACCCCTCCCCCTTTTAAAAATCTGAAAATCATCCTAAATTGTTCTTCCCAAAATTTAAAAATTAATTTAATAGGAATGGAATTTGTGTCTTCAAAAGTGACAATAGTTTACCAAATACTTCAAACGGTGTTCCATCATTTATTACACAAGAAGAATTTGAACGTTATGACGGTTATTGGTGGAGTCCTACACGAGTAGAAATTTTGTATGAAAGGGTTGATGAATCTCAAGTTGGACAAATCGTCCCAGGAGGATGTGGAGGGGAATCAATTCGTTACCCTTTGGCTGGGACAAAAAATGCTGTTTCAATGCCTAGAATATGTTGTCTTGTAAATTGTGATGGTGAAGATAATTGTTCATTTGATGATTTGGAACTAGACAATAATTTGAATGAATTTGTGCCTTGGATGGAATATATTGTTAGAATGGGGTGGACAAGTAAAGGAAATGAGTTTGGTTTTGATTTTTTATTTTTTTTTATAAATTTTGGAAGACTACAAAATTTAATACAGTCGAATCTTAATTTTTTACGTATGTCCTTAGGCTAAAAACTGTCTTAAAATAGAGTGATATATCAATCATGGTGGTTGTCTCTTATTGATAGACAGACTACTCAACTAATGAGGAACCAATTTTTTTAAATTGAGGTTTATGTCAAAGATGGGTCGCTCAAAGGAAAATATTCTAATAGGGTCGGGGTTTTCAAAAAGTTCTTTCGATCGATTGAAAAAAGTCTTGGGGTTCGAGTACCCCTGGTATTTGTAGGTGTACGCAAAATTTTTGATTTGACTATATTAACTTAAATGACTGTAAGGTTATCAATTTTGGAATCGAACCGAGAATTTTTCTTTTCTTCGGTTCGCGCGATATCCAAAGGAATTTCCAATAACTGACAACCTTATAAATTATTTTTTTATTTTTTTAAAGAATTTATTTGGTTGTAATGAATAGACTACAAACAAGAATGGCAATTATATTATTACCTAGAACTCTTTTTGTTTCTGCTGGAAAAAGTGGTAAAGGTTTTGGAAATATGAAAATTATTTATGAAGAAACTTCAACTGTTTGGATTAATGTAAGTGTTTTTGGGATGGAGAGGGTCGATAATTATAGGTTTATGTATTAATTTCGGCTTATTTTCTTATAATATTTGAAATTAATTTGAAAAAGTATACACGAAGTAATTAATTTTTTAATATAAAATAATTTTGAGTTTTTTTTTATTTTGGGCCTATTTTCGATAAAACTGGAATTTTAAAAAACCTTGACCAAATTCTTGACCTTGTCATGAATCAAGGTAAACACTGAAAATGCCTTGATTTCGGCTTTGGATTAAGGCCTGGATAAAGATCCAAGCCGCTCTCCAATTTTCAAACGTGAAAAAAATAAAATGGGCAAGAAACAGATTGGAAAGTTTAAGTCCGAGAAACCTGCATTCGTTGACCCATCCATTGTATTTTTGTTTTTAAAAATAAATTTATTAAATTATTAAAAAAAATTTTTTTTAAGTGGAACAACCTTCTTCACTTTCCCCTAATTTTTAATCAAACCGATGAATGTGAGACGAAGAAAATTCAATTCATTATGGGCTCTGAAAGTTCTGATAAATGTCATTTGTATTTACAAAATTGGGAAGAGGAGAAGGGTAGGATTTTTTAAATTTATTTTTTAATTTAATTTATAGGCATTATTTCAAAGCAAATTACTCGTGGTAGTGATTGGGTGGTTCTTAAAGAGGCTGTTCCTAAGGTTGTTTAAAAATAATTCTGATTTTTACAAATTGTAATTTTTAATACTTGTTTCTTCTTGTAAATTACAAATTTTGATTTTTTATGATTAAAATAATTTATTATGGTTGAAATAATTTATAAAAATCAGAATTTGCTTATGGTTTAAATCAGAATTTATAAAAAATCAGAATTACAAATTGTAAAAATTCAGAATTTAAAAAATTCTGAATTTAAAAAAATCAGAATTTCTATTTTTAAACATCAGAATTACAAATTGTAAAAATACAGAATTTGTTTTACAAAATAAAATTCTTCTGGTTTATAAAAAAATTACAAATTCTGATTTTTAATAATAGAAATTCTGATATGTATTAAAACAACAAATTGTAATTCTGATTTTGTAAATTACAAATTCTGACTTTTTTGCTTACTAAGATTTTTTAAATTTAGAATAATTTATAGTAAATCAGAATTTGTTTATGGTTAGAATCAGAATTTGTAATTTGTAAAAAATCAGAATTTTGATTTTTAAAAACCAGAATTTGTAATTTACAAAGGGGAATTTTTCTGATTTTTTATAAATTACAAATTCTGATTTTTAGTAACGCTTAATTTTTAAAATAATTCTGTTTTTTATAGTCAGAATCAGAATTTGTAAATTACAAATTCTGATATTAAAACAAGCAAATTGTAATTTTTCACTTTACAATTTGTAATTCTGAAGTTACTTATTAGAAAAAATAATTTTTTTCTTGTCAGGTTGATAATAACAGACGACTTGTATATTTCTTGGCAGAGCGCATTTCTCCTATAATTTTGAGCCTGTAAATTTTATTTTTTATTTAAAAATTTTTTTTAATAATTTAGATGTGTTGCTTCTATTCCCTCGGTGACTTCTACAACTAGCAACGAAGATAAATTCAATGACTGTCGTGTTTTGACTCCACAGGATTTGAGTTATAAGTAAAAAAAAATTTTTTTAAAGAGAAATTAATTTTTGAAAAAAATTTTTGAAAAAATTATTTTCAATTTTTTTTTGAAAAAAAAAATTTTACAGCCAAAACTAATTGAAAAAATATTTAAAATTTTTGAAAAATTTGTGGAAAAATTTTTTAACTAAATTTTTTTATAAATAATTTTTTTTTAATTTTTAAAAAATAGATTTGAACGTTGTAACCCTACACTTTGCCTTAATCCTGATGTTGGTTTTATTTGTTGGTTAAGTGCTGTTAACCGCCTCCCTGAATGTCGTTTTTATCGCTTTGTACATGGAAATGAACCTGGCTTACTTCCAACAGCTGTTTATACACATAGGTTTTATTTTTTATTTTTTTGATTTTTACAAATTTTAATTCTGATCTACACTGCGAGGGCATATTTAGGGGTCGAATGCGCTAAACTTTTGGTGTTTGAAGGCGTTTTTATTATTTTTTAGTGCCGTAGGGGCAGGAATTTTTTTTTGATTTTTGAAAGTTTCTTTGGAGTGAGGTTTATAACTAGAGTGTGAGGTTTATAATCTATTAAAAAAAGAAAAGGTGAAAGCACCAGCAACTCACTTTTGTCGCTAAAACACCTTTACTTAGGGAGGTGGAAAGCGCATAGCAATAAATGCCGGGAGGAATCATATAATCATTGCCTGGCCGGGGATAAGCTCTTAAATTATTTTGTCCTTAGTTTTCCTCTTATATTTTTTTTTAGAATTTTCATAATTTTTTTTTCTAATTTTCAGAATAGGCGTTCAAATCGTCTCTCCTTCCCCCTCAATTTGCTCTACTTCAAGTTGGGGTCTTCCATACCTTCACCGCTCTCCCTCTTCTATATTTAAACACAAATTTTGTGAATTTGAATCAACTACTTCCAAACAACGACATTTTGCTTTGGCTTTATGGCCTTGTGAAGAAATTGAATCAACAAAAAAATTTCCAATAATTCATTCAGTATATGGTGGACCAAGTATTCAAATTGTTCGAAATTCGTGGCATTCGTAAGAAAATTTTAAAAAAATTTTGAGAATTTTTTTGACTCTAGTCCAAAATTATATGTCCAATCATACCTTTATGATAGAGTCGTCTTTGATTTTTTTAAATCAGTTTTGTTACATTCTTGCGCTAGAATAAATACCAGTACGTTCAAATATGAATTTATAAGCCTAATCCTTGTAAGCCTAATCCTAATCCAAAATGGCTTCCGTACATTTTGGGAGTTGGCAATTGGGGAGTAAACGGATAAGTGGGCAGTGGACACTTGGGCATTGAATTACGATTACTAAAAAATATGTAAAAATTTTTTTGGATTTATATAGGTTGATTGGACACGTAAATATGTCATTTGACTTAAAAATTTAAAATTGGATAAGGGCCAAAGTTTTTTTTCTAAAAAATTTCTTAAATTTCCAGAGGGCCAAAATTTAGAAAAAATTTTTTTCTTAATTTTCAGAATTTCCCAATTTCTTAAATTCCTTGCTTATGGATATGCTGTTGTTATTGTAGATGGGAGAGGTTCAGCAAATCGAGGCGTTTCATTTGAAGGACATATTAAAGAAGCTATGGGCTCTGTTGAAATGGAAGATCAAGTGGAAGGGTTAAAACAAGCAATTGAACAAACAGAGAATATTTTGGATGGAGAACGTGTTGTCTGTATTGGTAAGGAGAAACTTATTTTTTGTGAGATTTTGACATAGTGGAAGAGGTTGATTCATAAAGAAATTGACACTATCGTTTATCGAACTTGTTACATATCTCGGATTAGCAAATATGGATATCTAGATCACATAGTCCCGGGATTTTTTTCGGGAGGGGGGCCAAGAGGCGGAAAAAATTTAGAAGGCCGTAGGCCAAAAAATTCACTTTTTGCCCAATCTCCTTCCCAAATTTTTTCCCTTTCTCCATTTCGGAGGGGGGTTCCTTGGCATAGTCCGGACACCCAGAAATTTTCGACTTTGGATATCGGATCATGATATCCGTGCTTTTTCAGGATCCTAACATATAAGAGAACATATCTCTCCGCTTTGCAGTTGCAAAGTTGTGAGCTACCGAGGAAATAGCCTTGCATTATTCCTTGCCTAAGCATGACTCATTTTTTCATTTCTGATCAGTTTCTCTCTATTTTCTAATTTTAATTCTATTTCCGAAGGAAATAGAATTTTATCAACAATAATATTTTTTTGAAATTTAGGCTGGAGTTATGGAGGTTATATGTCTATTCAATTAATTGCTGAATATCCAAATATTTACAAAGCGGCAGTTGTTGGTGGAGCTGTTGAGTTTTTTTCATTAATCTTTTGATAAATTTTTTTGCGTTTTTAGGTAACAGATTGGCAACTTTATGATACAGCATATACTGAACGGTATGGAAAAAAATTTAAAAAATTTAATTGAAAATTTTTTCCTTTAAGTTATATGGGAACACCTCAACAAAATGCTGAAGCTTACAAAAAATCTTCGGTTATAAGCAAAGTTGATATGCTTCCAAATCAGTTCAGTTTACTTTGATTTTTGAAAAATATCCTAAAGATTTGGGTGACTTTGGGATCGACCAAAATTGTCTTGAAAAGCTGCTCAATTTTGATTAGAGATCTAATAAGTCCAAAAATCGAATTCGAAGTCGATTTAAGAATTTAAACAGCTTAGAGGGCTTAATGAGAATTTGAAGCGATTAAGTGGGATATCGGGTGATTTTGAATTATTAGGATAGTTGAAGCGATTGAATTATTGATGATTAAGTAGGTGGAGAGGAAAGTTTATTTTTCGAATTCGTTCGAATAGTTCAACGATTTTCACTGAAAAAGTCGATCGAGTTTTGAATCACAGACAATTTGCAAGAGTATTATAGAATTATTTTCTGATCTCTAATTTTAATAATCAAAATTTTCACAAAATTTTAACAAGGCTTTTTCCATCTCGATCCAATCTCTAATTCAAAAATACGTCAAAATCCTTAAATAGATTTTTAAGACATTTGATTGGCCCTATCTTAAAAAAATTTTTTTTCCTTATCATTCCTTTGTCTCTCCTTTTTTAACAAATCAATTTTTAATTTTAAAGAGAAGGCCGTATACTTATCGTTCATGGAATGATTGACGAAAATGTTCATTTCCAACATACAATCCTCTTAATTAATTCATTAATTAAAGCTTCTAAACCTCATCAATTATTACTTTTTCCAACAGAAAGACATGCTATTAGAACAGGGGAATCTGTTGAATATTTTCATGCTTCGGTTCTTTCTTTTTTTAGACGTGCTTTGGGTTTGGGTATTATTGTTAAAAAAGAAAATATTTAAATAGAGAAGGAAAGACTGCCAAAGAAATTTATTGAAAAATAACCTCAAAAAATTGGATTTTTAAAAATAATTTTTGTAACCAAAAATTATTTTTTTAAACATGGTTTGTAATTTTATAGTGGTCCTAGGAATGATTTGGAAAGCTATAAAAATCATTGCTGGGTATTGGGTATTTAGTAGTGACCGGTAAAATTGATTTTTCCGGATTCCGGATTTGCAACTAGAGCCGGACCGGATCCGGCCGGATTTCTCCGGATTAATCCGGTCCTGTTTTAATCTGGAAATTTAAAAAAAACCCCGGATCTGGGACCCGGACTCCGGGAAATCCGGCCGGATCCGGTCAGGCCCCGGTACTAGTATTTAGTGGAGTAGGCTCTGTCATTTTTTCATATCTTGGCTCCAGATACGATTAGAACCACTTCAGAGCCAACTTATGATTCTTGAAAAAATTCTGAAAAAATATTCTGAAAATTCTGGAATTCTGAAAATATTATAGAGCTATACCCACACTGCCCTTTTCCCTTTAAGCCAACAATTTTAGGAAATTAAAATAATTTTCTAGGACCACTATGCCTATAACTCCGTATATTAATTATGTATATTATTTATTAACCCATATCTGACATTTAAAAATATATACTCTTATTATCAGAACTCTATTTTTTATATTAATTTATTACGCTGGAAAACACCTCTTATTTTTGGGAACAAAAATAATTCTGATTTTCTAAATATTCTGATAAAATAAAATTCTGAAAAATAATTCTGATTTTCTAAATATTCTGATAAAATAAAATTCTGAAAAATAATTCTGATTTTCTAAATATTCTGATAAAATAAAATTCTGAAAAATAATTCTGATTTTCTAAATATTCTGATAAAATAAAATTCTGAAAAATAATTCTGATTTTCTAAATATTCTGATAAAATAAAATTCTGAAAAATAATTCTGATTTTCTAAATATTCTGATAAAATAAAATTCTGAAAAATAATTCTGATTTTCTAAATATTCTGATAAAATAAAATTCTGAAAAATAATTCTGATTTTCTAAATATTCTGATAAAATAAAATTCTGAAAAATAATTCTGATTTTCTAAATATTCTGATAAAATAAAATTCTGAAAAATAATTCTGATTTTCTAAATATTCTGATAAAATAAAATTCTGAAAAATAATTCTGATTTTCTAAATATTCTGATAAAATAAAATTCTGAAAAATAATTCTGATTTTCTAAATATTCTGATAAAATAAAATTCTGAAAAATAATTCTGATTTTCTAAATATTAAATATTCTGATTTGCAAAAATTCTGATTACAAAAAAATTCCAGAAAATCAGAATTTTTAAATTAAATTCTGTCTGGAAATTCTGATTTTTAAAAATTATTTTAAAATAGAGTTCTGATTTTAAATAATTTTTTCTGATATATATTCTGATTTATTAGATAATATAGTACTATTATTTAACTAATAAATTTGGCTAGTTTTTTTGTGGGGGAATTTTGTTTAATTATATTTTTTAAAATACGAAACAATTTTTTTTTAATTTTATTTTTATTTTCTCTTTTTTTTTATTGGACAATTTACTATTTTTTAAAAAATTGTCTTTGACACAAAAACAGAGGTAAAATAATTTTATTTTATCTATTTTTTCCTTCTTTGGCAAGGCAAAAAATGCTTTTTCTCGACGTAAAACATTCGATATTTTTCTACATTTTCTTACATTCCTGCTTGTATATTGTTTCTCTAACCAGTCCATTCCGTTTTTTTAATGGATTCTATCTAGCTTTTAAAAACAGCCTCCTTCCATTTCGATTTTATAGCAAGAATTTTTTTCTGACGGGGGCGTTTGGGCGCAGGGATGTTTGGGCGTGGGGTTATTTATGTCCATGTAGATAGGAGATATTTTGATCAAATTTTGTTTGAAAATGTTGTCTATATTGTTGACTACCTTGCCTATAAATTTCAGAATTTTCTGTTTTTTATTTGAAAGGTTACGATAGAAAAATGCGTTAAAATGGGGTTTTTCTGCCTTAAATAGGCGCAACTTCAGAATTTTTGGACCAGAATTTCTGAAATTTTGGACCAAAAATTCTGAAATTTTAGGAAGGCTTAGCCAACACCTATAACGACCTTTCTACAAAATTTTATCAATTTATGCACCCTCTAGGCAAGTTTACAAAGCTTCACCCTATTTGTTCTGCGCCTAAACGTCCCCTCCCCCAACTAATTATTTTCAGCCTTTAAAGGCTTTAAGTTGCCATTATTTCTTCTAAATTATATTTTTTAACTCCTTTGTTGAATAATAGTCTCTCACACGTCTTTTATTCCGACAGATGGCAGATTACGATTATTTGATTAAATTCTTGGCCTTAGGTGATTCTGGCGTTGGCAAAACTTCGTTTTTGGTTTAACTAAAGATTTTTAGGCTTGAAAATTTTTTCTCCCTTTTATAGCACAGATATACAGACAATTCTTTCACGGGTCAATTCATATCAACCGTTGGAATAGATTTTAAAGAGAAAAAAGTGGTAAGCTTATTTTGGCTTTGTAGGGTGATTGAGGGAGTTTATGGGGTGATTGAGGGATGAAACACAAAAATATGGGAAGGAATAGAAAAGTTGTTGTGTCGCATCTTAGAGAAGTAGGTGGTTAGGCCTATGATATACACCAGGGATGGGTTTTCTTCCGCTTTCCGCTTCCGACTGCCGCTTTTTAAAATGCAGGGCCCATTCCTTATATAGTTACACATACCCAATAGTTAAAATTCGGTTGGTATTTGGAAAAAGAGAGCATCTAAGTTGGGTGAGCAATATATACTGTGTCCGGGGGGAGGGGGTAGCTAAACGATTTTCAGCTAAACGATACCCCTCTATTTAAGATATCCCTCGTTATAAAAACAGTTTTTTGAACCCCGAGGGTGATCTGACTCCTAGTAGACACTTCTAATCTCACAACTTCTCACTTTTCAGGTCTACAAAAGTGCTAGAGGAGGCTTTGGAGGTAGAGGTCAACGAGTGCTTCTACAATTATGGTCCTTTTTTTTTAATTTAGGGAATATTTTTTTTTCATTTTAGGGATACTGCAGGGCAGGAAAGATTCCGTTCATTAACCACAGCTTTCTTCCGCGATGCTATGGGATTTATACTTATATTCGACATTACTAATGAACAGTCATTTCTTAATGTCAGGTATACTGTACTTCCGGAAAATTTTTAAAAATTTATGTTTTACGGAGAAAAAGAGACGTTACGGCGCAGAGCAGTTACGGCGTAGACTTACATAACTTTGTTTGTTGATAAGATAAAACTATGAAATTTTGGATTTAGATAAATAATAATGTTATCTAATCCTTCTAAAAATTTCAGATTTTTTCGTTTAGTATTTCCCAAGTTGTGATCGAAAATGTCCACTTTTTGGTAGAAAATGTTGAGGTTTCGTTAAGTTTTTTGCCCACAACTTTGGATACAGTAGACGAAAAATTCTGAAATTTATAGAAAAATTGGTTAAGATCATAAGGAATATCTATGCAAAATTTCAGAACTGTAGGTCCTCGACTTCCTGTTAATTTACACGCGCGCTGTAAAGGACCGTGTCTTCAATAGCGTCCTCTCCCCCTTAAAAATATTCTGATCTTAATTTTAAAAAATTTTTAACTTAAAAGGGATTGGCTTTCTCAACTAAAAATACACGCATATTGCGAAACACCAGACATAATACTTTGTGGTAACAAGTCAGACTTGGAAAATCGTCGACAAGTTAGTACTGCTAGAGCTAAACAATTGGCAGACCAGCTTGGGTTTTTTAAGTGAAAAAAATTTTTTAAATAAATTTTTCTTGTAGTTTACCCTATTTTGAGACTTCAGCATGTACTTCTTCAAACGTAGAAAAAGCTGTTGATTGCCTACTTGATTTAGTTATGCAACGGTAATTTAATTGGGTGGGGGATTTTTAGAATAGCCTTTAGTCTTGAGGCCACATTTTGGGCCATAACTTTTTTGATTCTTAACCGATTTGAATCATTTTTATATCATTCGAAAGCTCAGAATGTGTGGATTATTTTAGCCAACAGACATGTTTTAATCCGATCACCCTACCAAAAGTTACAGCTGGGTAAGTACGCGCAATCGTGATTTTTGAGCTTTATTCGGCTGCAACTTTTTGTAGGATGATCTGATCAAATCGATCCTAACGGCTAAAATAATCCTCAAATCAAGAGCTTTCGAATGATATAAAAATTATTTAAATCGGTTAAGAATGAAAAAAGTTATGGCCCAAGTTTTAGGTGAGGGTGGAACTGGCTGTTCAAAAAATTCATCTAAACCGAACCTCTATACAGTCAACTCTCAATATTAGCGACTCCAAGTGATTGGAAATGATGTCGCCTATATAGGAATCACTTTGCCTAACATGCCCTGAGGGCATAAAAATTTATAAAAATAAATTCGTCTTTAAGGATACAAATGTCAGTAGGCAGCGACAATTTGCCAGCCGGTTGTATTGGCAGTGGAAATAGACTAAATGTTGAAGAAGATTTTTCTGCTAATAAAACATCCTATTATTGTAACAATTGTTAAATCATTATATGATTTTATTTTAAATATTTAAATGAAAATAAATTTTCAATTAGTGCTTTGACGCTTGTAAAAAAATCATACTCGTACTTTGCTTGGTACGAAGTACGAGTTTTCTTGAACCTCAAAAATCATCCGAAGAGGGCTTAAGTGAAGTATCAGAAATTTCTAGCAACAAAATTAATCATTTTTCCTTTCTTCAAGTTTAATAGTATCAAACAACTCACCCAGACTAAATAATTAGGTCTGAGCAGAAAATTTAGGCTTGGCTTGCCTTCCTTCCTTTGACCTGCCTCCCTTCAGTATTTAACACAGAAATTTTCTCCATATTTTTTATTCCTTCTTTTTATAGATTTTATTATTTTTTAACGTCACAAAACCAAACACAAAACTTTACTCCTTATTTTAAGAGTAATATGTACTTTTCAGGTCACGGTTTCCCTACTTTTTCCCCGGTTTCCGACCAATTATGAGCTTTTATTCGAATGATACCATTGTCGGTTAGCTTTGTTGATTCAAAATTATGAAGCTAAATTTTGCTGCAAAATTTTTTTGTGCATTTGAGAGGGGGTAAAATAAACGGTCATATATTGATTTTAGTGCCATTCGATTCAGCTCGAAAAGCCGAATCGAATGATATATAATTTGGCATAAAAGCAGAAAAAAGGAAAAAATAGAAAGAAAAAAAGGGGGCAACTTCCAAAAGTATTTGAAAGCCAAGGGTATAAGAAGGTATACCTTTGGAAGTGTAAGAAAATATTAATTAACCATGAAAAGGTTCGAACCCGCTACCCAATTTTAAACGATTTTGTAGTCAGCGCTCTTATCCACTTAACCAAAATTTAAATTGCGCTATGTCCCTTGCTAGTCTGCAGTGAAGGTATTACCAGATTTATTTTAACAAATTTTTTAGTTTTTCATTTAAAATATTTTAATTAAATTTAAAAAATGACTGAAGAAAGACCATCAACAAATACTGATTTGGAATTTAAAGTAAATTTAATTAGAAAAATTTTTTCTGAATTAATTATTTAAGCTATACAAACAAAACAATGATTTAATAAAACTTGAAACGCATCTTCAAATAAAATTTGTTGAAGAGAAGACTTTAAATCTTGAAAAGAAAAATTTTTTTCTGGAACATGAATTGAAGGAAATGGATAAAGTCTGGTTATTTTCGTAACGGTCAACTAAGCGCCAGTCGTTTTGACCGACTATATCTTTTTTGTCCTTGATCCAATCCGAATGAATCTTATATCATTCGAAAGCCCTTGAAAAGCGCTATCTTTTTCCCAACTGGTTGAATTAAGTGTGATCGCTCGATAAAAAGTTACAAGTCGATAAGTGCAAGAAATCGTTGTTTTTCACACTTAATGACTTGTAACTTTTTAATAGACGATCAGACTGATCCAACCAATTGGGAAAAAGATAGCGCTTTTCAAGGGCTTTCGAATGATACAAGATTTATTAGGATTGGATCAGTCATAAAAAAGTTATAGCCGATCAAAGTCTGTTAGCGCTGAGTTGACATTTCGACCCCATTTTTTGAAAATTCTTTAAAAATAATTTTAGAAAATCCAAAAAATAAATATTGACCATAAAAATGAAATTGAAGAAATTAAGCAAAATTTTCAAAAATATATTGAAGAAAAATTTCACCATTTAAAAGTTGAAAACTATTTTTGTTTAAAGCAAAAAGATGAGAAAATTAGTTCTTTGGAGAAAGAAAACAAGGTAAATTTTTTAGGGCTTAATATTACATGAGCTGTCTCTCAATTTTTTTTCATAGTTTCGTATAATTATCGAAGCTGAGAATCGGTAAAAGGAGTAGGTTTATGTTGCTAGTGCAGCACCCTGCGACCGTTGACTCCCGCGAGGCGCTGCCACAAGCGTCTCGCCAACGCTCCAAAGGTTCCCGCGGAACGTCCCTCTTGTGTACCGGCCGTTTGTGTACCTGGCCATATTTTGGGCCATAACTTTTTTGATTCTTAACCGACTTCAATTATTCTTATATCAATCGAAAGCCCTGGATGTGAGGATTATTTTCGCCAACAGGATTGATTTGATCAGATCATGTTATATAAAGTTATATCTCGATAAATGCGCTCAATCGTGATTTTGATCTTTATCTGTCTGTAACTTTTTGTATGATTATCTGATCAAATCAATCCTGTTAGCGAAAATATTCCTCACATCCAGGGCTTTCAATTGATACATTATTTATTTAAATCAATTAAGAATTGAAAAAGTTATGGCCCAAAATATGGCCAGGTACACAAACGGCCGGTACACAATAGTAGTAAGTCCCCCACAAATGTATCACTTGAGGGGTCCATTGAAAAAGCCTGTGCCTGAGGTGCGGTATTTTTTCTTTGAAGATGCCGCCAAATCCGTGCCTAGAGGGCACTTTTTTGCGCGAAAAGTTAATTTTTGGCGCAAAACCCCTCCCTTTGGGAGGGGTTTGGATTAATTTTGCGCGAAAAAACAATGTTTTGGCGCAAAACCCCTCTTCTTCGGGAGGGGTCTATATATTTTTCGGGGGTGTCAAAAAAATTTACCGCACTCAGGCACAGGCTTTTTTCAATGGCCCCTCGAGTGATACATTTGTGGGGATAAATAAAATTATTTAAAATATTTATTTAAAATAAAATTCTTTAAAATAAATTTTATTTAAAATTTTTTAAAATGAATGCGGAAAATGATAGGTTTGATCATTTTCTGAAAAACGCCTAGGAACGCCCCCTTTTTTTAAAAAATTAGAAATATTCAAATTTCTCAAAATTTTCGCCTGCGGTGCTGAGAATGAAGACTTGTGTATATAGGAGGATTTGAATGGGGTTATGTGGATTTTAATGATATCCGGACAGTTCAAGGGATCTAAGGGAATAGCGAGAGATTTTGCCTTCTGAAACCTGGGTGTTCCCACTTGACCTTCATAAATTCTCAAAATCTAAACCAGCGGCGCAAAAAGAGAGGGATTTTTAAACAAAGCCACTCCAATTATAAAAAATATTGATATTTTTACAAATTAATTTCATTTACATATAAATTGCAGCATTTTGATGCATTCTACTCATAAAAAGTTAAAATTTTTTATTTTGAAAAAAATCCCAAATCTCGGGCGGGATCCCGGATAATTATTTTCGGGATTTTTGAAATTCGGGATTTTTTTCGGGATTTATCCCTCGGATCCTGTCCCGGCATCGGTTGAGAAAAAACCCCGACTCGGGATCCCGGAAATGCATTTTGCCGACATTTAATGACGAGTGGCCTGCGACCAAGTGGCCCGCGATTAAGTGTCCGTGTCCTGCTTATTTTTAAAAATTTTATTTTGACACGAAATTATACAATGTAAAAAAATTGATTAGGCGCGCGGCCATAACAACTTTTTTCTTCCCTATTTTGGATTGGTCACCCTTAAGTTTAATTTTTTTGATTTTTTATTTTAGAAAATTTTTCTTTAATTTAATTTATGACTGAAGACAAACAACTTTTCATATTCACACATATGCTTCCGGGCAACGAGAATCTTTTGCTTGAGAGGTTTCTAATTTGATTTACTTTTATTATTTCGAGATTTTCAGGATTAAAGAATGTGTAGAAAAACGAAATAAAGGTTATTGCTCTACTTCGCCGGGATGTACAGTGCTTCGAAGAATTCCAGCTGAAGATGTTTTGCAAGTTACTGCTGGGAATAATTATGTTGCTTTCCTTCTCAAGGTTTTAGTTCAAAGTAGGGTTGAGGGTTAGTTCTTTCGGGCGGCCACGGATGCCAAAAAAATTTAATGTCGGTTCGAATCCGTATTTGTTCGGACTGTTACAAATCCTTATTTCTTCGGACTGCAAACGCCGTTTCGAGTCGGGCCGACGGCGAGACTTTTTTCGGGCCGTACGAGTCTTTTTCGGACCAAATAACTTAGGCCCGACTCTATTTTCCAGTCCGAGTCGGTCCATTTTGGCAATCCTAATTACGGATTTTCGAAGATTTTCTAAGAGCCAACAACTAGCTCAATGTATCCCCACGTCTATTGATACATTTTTAGGATCATCGAGTCGCTCGTCTTCGTTATGAGATTGTTGCCAACACTATTGAATCTACCGCTCCGACGGACAAGAGTATTTTAATCTTTTAATTTTTAAAACGATTTTTTTGTTTGAGATGAATCCGGCCCTGGTTCATCAACAGCTCCAGCTACCACCACTGCTGGTTCCTCTGATCCAGCGTCAGCTTCTGCAAATGCTGCTGCAAACGCCGCAAATCGGACTGCAAAAATTCGGGTTTGTTTTTTGCTTTTTTTTTTACAAATTTTAAATTTATTTGTAGCGAATTATGATGACACGTCCAGGGACTTGTTCCGGTGGATTTTGTCTCACTGGAGTTGTGATTGATAGAAATCGTCCTCGACTAATGATTTCTGCCTCTTCCGTTCCAAAAGATTTAATCGTGCAATGCCAGGTTTTTTCTATTTTTCATGCTTTCTTAAGATATTTCTAGGTTGTTTTACAAGGCAAATCTCATGCTGCGATTGTTCGTGAATTACAACGCATTAATTTAAATGTCAACGAGTCAATCGACAATTTACTTTCTCGCGATGATGATGAAATTGATGATTTGGATGACATAAGTGAGGCCTACCCACACGAAGAGCTGCTTTCTTTGCTCGATGCTGGGCTTCGTTCCTATGGAAGTGGTGCCGCACGAGCCGCTTTACTTGATAGTGATAGCATTTATTCTGCTGGAAATGGCTACGAATACTTGATTTCACGTGATTTGGCTAGACGCAAGGGTGAAGGTTTAAATTTAAAAATTTTTTCTTTTTTAACATTTTAAATTCAAAGATAAATTTGAACATATCGACAAATTGCTCTGCTGCACGCTTTATAGTGCTGTTTTGACAAAAAATGGGAATATATTTTGGAGGTTGTTTTTTTAAATTACGTCTCAAAAATTTTTAATTTAAGAGGAATTTACTCATTTAATGAGAGCAAGAAGATATGGGGAA